CCAAGTATTAGAAGTGATGGGAAGCTAAACCTAATCTAATCAAAAAAAAAAAGAAAAAGAAAAAGAGGGGAATAAGAAAGATTACCAGAACAAGGTGTCGCCTCCTACTTTGCCGTCGCCGTCAGGGGGAGTTTTGCCGTCGCCGCCGTCACCGTCGCCGTCGCCGTTGCCGGGTTGCTGCGCGGCTGAAGGAGAGAGAGTGAGAAAAGGGGGCGGCGGATCTAGGGCAAGAGTGAGCGAATGACGTACTTTTCCATTATATGCATCACCCGTTTTTTTCATAACCCGGATTTGACCCGAATTCTGACTGGCGAACTGAGAAAAAAGGTCTGTTCCAAAAAATTGAAAAATACCCCCAACCTATTTTTTAAAAAGTCTGTTTCAAACCTTCATTTTTTCAAATTGATGTTTAGAAAAGACTTTAATTATTTTGTCCAAACGCATTCTAAACTCTAAACAGACTTTTTAGCCTTAAAAGTCTTTTTAAAACTCTTGTCCAAATGGAGCCTAAAATTCACTGAGTTGCATGTATAGTGTTAATTCGCTGAATTGCATATATAGTGTTATCTTTTTGCTAAGTTAAAACTGCCTTAGATTTTGCATATATAGTGTTAACTCACTGAATTTCATATGTTGTTGTGTTTTTTCCTTATGCTGTTTTCATTTCTTTTTAACTACCCCACATCTCGACGCTGGTGTTTGATCTAGGAACAAATTAAAAGCAGCAGTAGTCGTCATAGTGATGAACATGGTGAGGTAGAAAAGGTATTGGAGGAGCTCATCCGCAATGATGATAAGAAGGGTTTCGTGTCTTTCATCCGGAGCAGCTATTCGATACAAAATACGCCTTGTTGCGATGACATAATGTTGTGGATTTGTTCTCACTCTGCCGAGGGTTGTGCCACTGCACTACTGGAAGGAGAGACTGGACTTTCTGTTGATCTTAATGCGCCACTGAGAAATGGATGCTACCCGTTGCACCTAGTGGCCGAAAAACTTATGCTCTAGCCTAACCGATTTATTTCTGCGCCATGGAGCTCGTACTGATCTGCATTGCAACAATAAAGAATCAAAGTACTTCAGAATGCTCCCATTAAGTGTTGCACTTGAGGCTTTGCGTGGTGGCAAATATCTGAACTGTTGGAATCCTTCCATATCCATTTTTAAGTTGATTTGTTGTCTTTGCCTCCCAGAATCAGTAATCTCCTTAAATTTTTCCTCTTCATTTCATGATTGGCTTATTTATGCAGCTTGTGATTTTTGAGTATCAAATTAGGTGAGCGGGGAATGGTTTTTATTGTCTGACCTTTCTCTCACTTTGAACGCAGCAAGAACCCTTGGAGACTGTAAAACTACTTTCTGAGAAGACAAAAGAGCTGGAGAAAATAAGTTTTTCCAGTTGCTTGTCCCTGTCAGTGGTGACTGTGTAGACAGTTCTCCTATTGGGCAATGCATTATGGAAAATTTAGCTTCACTAGTTGATCAAGAGTATAAATTTATTGATACTGTCAGCGATACAGCATTGACTGAATGCAGGAAGATGCAAGAAAAAATGGTTTCTGCTTCATTGATGCTCACAATTTTTGAAAGAAGTGGTGAAATTTTTGATAAATTTCGGCTATTGTGCCTTGATAGAGTATGATTTCAAAACCTTATTCGTATTTTATTCATCCAACTCTACTTTGAAACTTCACATTTTGTGATTTTCTTCTCTTTCGTTCTTTGTGACTTGACACTCGTCACTTGGAAGCTGACAAGAAATGCCTTCTCTTTCTTCTTGCAGGCCGACTTTTATTCAGAATTTATATGGTTACGAAATACTATAGTCATTTTAAAGCGACTTGGTTTTACTCTGAAGAGAGAAGACACTAACTTTAGTGACATGCCCTGGTATGAGATCCTATGCATGTTACAATCTTCTCTTTGCTCAAACAATTTAAAAGTTAAGTTTCACTCATAACTTATCACACTGATTTATAACTAAATCTGTTAACATGGTGATGTGGCAAGCTTTCACATTGGGATGGATTCTAGACGCGCAGGTAGGTATCTGTTCTGTAGTCCCTTTAAACAGATTCGTTTGACAGAGAACTTGTGAAAAGAATATTAAGAGTATAAAAAAGGTTGAATTAGTCTATGTGTTTACCTGTAAATGCTTCCCCCGTATCCACCTTTTTGCAGAAGAACTCCGTTGTTCCATTGATCAGATACTGAACTCGAGACAAAGTCAAGTGAGATCCTCCTCCTACCTTGTGCATATACGTGTTTCTTTATATGGGTCTTAAGAGTATCACTTTGTGACCGGAATCTGGTGGCGTATATGAGAAACAACAGTGACACAACACAAATGTGGAGTATAAAGCAGACCTTAGGTTATTTCTTAAACTATAGTGTAGCAAAAAATTAATTAAAAACTGAAGGAAAATTATAGGAAAAAGGGAAGAAAACAAAAACAATTTCAAGAATCACTTAGGCTCACAAAACTCAGAGAAGTTGCAACAATGCCGCAGGAAATATATTAACTCAAAGTTCTGAACTGTTCTTCAAAGAAGTTACATTGTTTTATTGGTTAAACTAAAACCAAAAGCTATTAGGAATCTCTATAGTTTTCTAAAGAATTGATTTCATTCCAGACTCAATGTTAACGTAATTAACTACTGCCTGGATGCAAAGATAGGAAATAGGAAATTACTGTACTATTTTTGTGGTGAGATTTGTGTTCTTTTTCCCTTTCTTTTCTGCATCAAGTAGATTTAGGGGCAGTATTTCTTGAATGAAACCTTTAAAAACCCAATAATTTATGAATTGAGTGAGATGTGCGATTAAGCACTTGTGAAAATGTTTTGCATGAAATAAAGAATGGGTTACATTGTCATCAATGCTTCTCCCTGGCTGTAGATACCTTCAACATGTTTTGATGGGAGCAGAAAACAAAAAAAAAAGAGCTGGTTCCTAATAACCTTGGAGTTAATCACCTTGTTCAGTCTCTTTCCTCGTCCTCCTCTTCCTTGAGAGCATTCCACACATGTCAGATTCCGAGGTCTTCATCTGGCGCTATGTTCGATACTTTGGGTAAAGCGCATCATCGTATGAATAATATAAGCAGCACCAAGCAATCAAATGTTCTTTTTGCTATCCGGGGTGGTATGACTTGGATGAGGTTAAGGAAAAAATGAGACTTGGAAGTGTGCATGGGTAGATAGATTAGACCCATCGTTTCTGTATTGTCCAATGGATGTTTCTGTTTCTTCTTTGTTCTTTTACCTACGAATTATCAATCAATTTTTTTTTTTAATGCTCTATATAAATATTAGAGCACAAAGATAATTTGGAGATACCATCTATAAAACTTACGAATCTCAAATTGGAGCTTACAAGACTTTATCAACAAAATTAAATGGAAAACCGTTTCTTAGTTACATGGACTCAAATAAAACCCTTTCCTTTTCATTTCCTCAATATACACTACAGCATCATCATATTTACCCACCTTGATAAGCCCTTCAATAATGGCAATGTAAGCTATGTCGCTTTCTTGGCACCATTTCTCTTGCATTAAGCCAAGGAGTTGTATAGCTTCCTCTATTAGACCACGAATTTGTAGGGCAGTAATCAGAATGTTTAATGTTTCTACATCAGGATCCAAGCCCTTATGAGATAAACTGTTAAACATATCCCTTGCTTTATCAAGTTCCCCTCTTCCACACAAACTATCAATGATGATATTGTACATTGCTATATGCAACTCCACTCCATCGCTTTCCATCTTATTCAATGACCTCAAAGCATCGTTAACATTTCCATTTTTGCAAAAACCATCAAGAAGTACACAATAAGAGTGAACATCAGGTGCTAAGCGGGCAGGTGCTAAGGGGGCACGAACTATCTGCGTAACAACTTCTTTTACAGTAATACCAAAACCTTCCATCTCACTGCACAACTGTTTGATCTCACTTGCTGACCCAACTTTATGGAAAACTCGGACCAGGCAACTATAAGTGACTAAATCAGGTGCAATGCCTTTCTGAATCATCGCCTGTGAGAGACCAAAGGCTTGATCCATCAACTTATCCTTGCATAGGGCATGAATAATAGCATTGTAAATGAAGGTATCGGGTTCACTACCCTCTTCTTCCATGACTCTTGAGGATTTCAATAGCTTTGGTTGTGTCCCCGGCCCAAGATAAGCCGTGGATAACAATTCCAAACATCACCTTGACTGGTTGACACAACTCCTCAAATCTTTTTTTTTTTTTGAACGAGTCTTGTGCCTCGAGGATCCTGCCTTGTCGAAAGAGTCCCCTTAGTAAGGTGCTGAAGAAGTTGACACTAGGCACAATTCCACGCTTGACCATTGCTCCTAGAACAGAGAACCCTAAATTTGCTCGATTCTCCAAGGGGTAACAGTTAATAATCATAGTCATAGTGGCCTCATTAATGGGGATGTCCACAGCAGCAAGAAATCGATCAAAATCAACAATGTTAGGGAGAGGCCTCAATGGAGCAATCCGCTGAAAAGACCCGAAAGCAGCGTCGGTTTGACCTATACCATTCCTCAAACTCCCGGTGCTAGATGTATTAAGTTTGAAATCAGAATTATTACCACTGGCAATCAAATCAGAAGAATGAAAGCCAGAAGTGAAACCGGGGTATAGATTTGGAGGGCATCTGATGAAGACAACAATTTCCAAGCTACAAGACCACAACCAAAAGCTCTTCTTTTTCCCGTCCTAAACATGGTTATCTAAAGCTAGGGACTCACCAAGGAGAATCCCTGGGCATAATAAACATTCCATCCATTTCAACACCTAAAACCACCAGATCTAACGATAATCATAAACATTTAGGTGCTCACAGACATAATTCAAACAGTCATAACCTGTTACTTCAGAAATTTATTGAACCCCCATCCAAAAGAATCCCATAATTCAGAATCTAAAAATTCAATCTTTGATCAAAAAGTGAATAAAAGGCTCATTAAAAAAAAAAAAAAAAAAAAACCCAAGATACAAAAGAGAGTTTGGAAGAAATAATGAAAATCACCTGACCTCTGCCACCGGCGATTTGGTGAAGAAAGAAGCAGAACAGAAGAGCTGTACAATTCTAAACCAGTAAGAAACTGAACTGGAGGGGGTTTTACTTTGCAGTTGTTTTGTTTGACTTCAGACGTGTCTCCTTTTAAAACTTATTGCATTTGGACTACTGGTTCGGGTCGGTGGTAAAAGAAAACCGCAATTTGTTGTCCTCCTCTTGAAGAAATTCAACACTAATCCACAGAACCGTCTTTCTTGGACAGAGTTTTGGTTCCCATAAATTTAAAAACTGATGAAGGAGCTAGGATGTTAAGGATGGCTTGTAATATAAACATTCAACCACACAAACTGAGCTCATCATTAACAACTTCTTAATCCTTTTCCAATATTCAAAAACAGTCTCACCAAGAAGACTTGATTCGTGATCGATTGAAAGAGAACAAAGGAGAACGAATTTAAAACAACTTTTCGCATTAAAGCAAGAATTCAAATGGAATTCACAATAATCTTCAACAAACACTGACTGACCTTGGACTAAGGCCAAGGAAACCATCTAAATCTACCAGCATAAACATCTAAACAGTTCCCTAGGAATGTACTCTTATGCACAATTTAAATCTGAACAATAGAACTAAACAGAACCACCACAGAAAATAGTGAAGAGGGAGGAGTGGACGTTCCCGACAAGCAAAACACTGTCTCTACTCTCTATGTTGTAGGCAAATGCTTCGAGTATAACTCAGTGAAAGTACCTCATTAATTCAATCTTGAATGATCTAAAGGCAGAGCATCAAAGTACGAGTAATATAGCCATTATTGAAAAGGAAAGATAGGGTAACTATAATCACTTAAACCAGACACCGTAAAAATTAAAATAATAATACTAATAATAAATTTCGTTAAATAATTTATTATTCTCAAAAATTGCTCCCAATGATCTAACATCAGTGATTGCATGGGAACTACATCCAAGAAGACCTGTGCATCCTTTTTATAACATCTAAAATTTCTTTCTTCACGGAACTGTCTGACAAATTTAATGTTGCCGGGAGCAAAGCACCAAAGCACTTCATACCAAATAATTGGACAGTTATTATACAGGAAGTTGATTTTGTACCTCTACTGTTCGAATGAATGGGTGATGGTACCAGAAGTCAATCAATAAAGTGCCCTCTTAAAGTCTCGAAGAAGCTGAAATCGAACCCGTGCGATCAGTGTATGTTGAAGTCTTCAGCAGTTTCAGATCATGTTCCATCCTCCTTCACTCCATGTTTCCTTTTACAGCACCGAAACATGAACAACAATTGCGTCAAAGGATGAAACAGAACTCAAATCAGGCTAAACATGGAACTTCCATGAATCATAGCTGCGAAATCACTTCGCAGTTGGTGAAGGGCTGTGTGATTGATCTGTCGCCCCGGTGTTGAATTTCCCGCTAGGTTGCCTGACTTTGAAGCTTCCATGTCTGATAGGCTTTGGCTGAAACAAAGAATTTAGCATTTTTTCCAAGGATGGAGCTGTATACTTTGCATATTTGCTGGCACTTCCATCCTGCTCCACTAAAGGGCCATAGTTCTGCATGTAACTGCGATAAACAGGCACAATTGCCTGAACAATCACTTGGCACGTCTTTTCCCGCAGATCTCTGTCCAAAATAACCCAGTTGGACTGTTTCTTATACATTTCATCAAAAGCCTCATTGAAAGCTTTCAATCTTTTCTTGACAAGATCACGGGCGGTGGCTCGTCCTCCAGAAAACAAGATGAGACCTTCCCTGCTTAACAGGGTAGGAAGCTTTCCCCAGCTTTCTCTCAAAAAATGTGCAGAATAAAAGTCCTTGTACTGTTCATGTTCTCTTAACCAGGAATCTCCCAACAGACTCCCCAACTTTGTGCCTTTCAGGTGCTTGTACAAATGCCAATGATTATTCATAAGAAAAATGTATGACAAGACTGTGTCCTCATAACCTTTTGACCATTTTTCCAGATTCAACTCAACGGCTCTCATTAAATTGAGCAGTTCATCAGTAACAAGCCTCTCCTGAAACTTTTTGTGCTTCCAACTTCTTTCAATAACTAGAACTTGAGTCAGAATTGGCCTGTAATCATCTCCAAGCAGCTTGTTGCAATAATCAGCAATAAAAACGACCAGTTTTGGGACACTGCCATCAGGAGGTGGTGGCATTTGCCTCTGTAATTCAACCTGAACAGAAAGTTCCCAAAAGATCTCGCAAGACCCTTCAATCAAACTCTTGATGAGATCCCTTGTCAAATTTTGGATTTCGGCACAGGCTTCTCCGCCAAAAAGCCTGTTGAAATCTAATCTTAGCTTGTTCAAAGATGCAAATATATCCAACAGTTTCAATAGCTTTATAGGATCCTTCTTACTCTCTGTAACAGTTTTCCCAAATTGAAGAAATGCAAGAATACCAGCCTGGGCTGCAATCTTCGCAAAGCATCTCATCCAAACATCCAAACCCAATCTCTCAAACACATCATTACACAGTTTATATTCTGCCTCAAACAGGTGTTTGACAGCAAACTCCAAATGCTTGCCCCATTGAGCTATGTGTCCCTCTATGCTTAACACATCATTGAACTCCGATACAGATATCTCAAGGTAATCCAAATTAAGTGCTCGTAAACTAGCTCGAACATTCAAACTACGAACTTCAATGTAAATTGATATGCATTTTTCAAGTCTGTTATTAACAATTAACCTACCAAGGATAGCCTGCAACTTCTGAATGACAGCCACGGGCAATGGAGAAGGTGCAATGCATGCTTGCTCTCCAGGCAAGGGTGATGAAGACATCGGTAATGGCACACTGTTTTCGGTCAAGAGCCGACGAAACTCATTCTCTAATCTGTCCAAAGCAGCCTCAAGAAGCCCACCATCAAGACAACCTTTTTCCTCATTTACATGCAGTTCCCTTAGATGCTCCAGAGCCATCTTCAAATTTGCAATGAACCGACCGTCGGCAACTTTATGATCCTCCAAATACTCCACAATATCAGCTAACCACTGGATAGCCATTCCACAATTTTCCCCAAGAAACCTCAATGCCTCCTCAAGCCTTTTAAGCACGCCAAGGTAACCTGGAAGATCCGATTGGGGATTAAACAAGGACTTCTCCAAGCCATGGATTGCATCAAAAACCTTAAGAACTGCAGTGGCTGGGACAACAGCGCGATTTATATGACCTCCAACAGCAGAGAGGGCGTCCCTTGGAGCTCGAATCGGTCGCACGGCAGCTTCTAGTGAGGGCAATCTGTGATTAATCTCAGCTAGTCTAGGCCCAATACTCTCAAGAGATGACCCAAGAGTTCTAGATTTATCTAAACTAAGCCTCAGAGATTTTCTAGCAGACATCAACCGTTCAGCCCCTTTATCCAACATTTTCCCTACCCAGATTGTAATCTGAAACAACTCCAACCACACTCCCACTAAATAAAATCCCAAAATAAGCAAAATCTTAGTCGAATGAAGATCAACAACAGCCAAATAATTAGAAATGGGATACACTAAAAACTGAATCTTTTCTTCCTCTGGCAGTTCCAAAAATCCCAGCTCATCCAAACACCAGTCTGGGATACATAAAGAAGAAAAACCCACCCAAAACCCAACTAACAACCACCAGCCCAAACCAATATTAATACACTTCAATACAGCTCTCCGTGCTCAAGATACTCATAATTCGTTCGAAAAACTCAAAAACTTTGGAAAAAATAAATTGACAGAGAACCTTTCCAGCTGACAGCCCCAAAATACTTGAGCCCAGTACAACATCCAAAGCCTCCAGCAAGCTTTTGAATAAGATCAAACCAGATCTGCAAAGATGAAACGAGGGAAACGTCTGATAGCGGAAGGGTTGCGCAGACGGCGGCCGACGGTGAGAGCTGAACGCCGGCGGTGGAAGAATAAGCGACTGACACTAAACACTTTTTGGCCTACCTTTGCCTTTAAACACGCCTTCAATTTTTAATCAAAGCGCCTTTTTTTCTTTGTTATTTTCTGGCATTTGGCCTTTTGTAATTTATTATTATTCCACCATCCATTTAACCAGTCTTATTCTTTTTAAAGTATATATATACTAGTGATGTCTGATCGCGCAATACGCGACCCTGGCCCAGTATATTTATAGATCTTAGAAATGTTTGTATTTGAAAAAAAAATATTTTATATTTAGCCCGATATATTTTAGAAATGTTTGAAGAATTTAGAAATGTTTTATAAGTGTGATCATAGAAATGTTTGTATTTGGCAAAAAAAAAAAGTGTATTTAGCCCGGTACGTTTTAGAAATGTTTGAATATTTTAGAAATGTTTTATAAGTATTACTTATTAAATATAAATAAACTTGATCAAGTATATCTCTTGAAGTAAATGTTATACAAAATATAAAAGTATCCTAATAAGTTTAAATATTAGTAAGATGATTTATTGATGTTCTCCATTTGTCGTGCCAAATCAATACTTGGTTTTGGAGATCTATAATAGCTTTGTAGTAAGTTTCCTCCGAAGGGTATTCGTTTAATTATTGGAACTATTTCTTCAAAGTCTTATAGCTAGTAAAATATCAAAAATATGATATTAATGTTGAAACTGGTTGATCACAAATATGAGAATGAAAATTAATGTAAATTTTCATAGGTTTCAAGTTATAGCAAAAAAGAACTCACCTCACCATGGCAAATAAAAAAAATAAGTAAAAGAGTCCATTAAAAATTGAGAAATTTTTTCTTTCATGTAGGTAAAAATGATGTATAAAACACAAATAAACGTAGAAACATCATTCCTTCCCTCTCCACCTCAAATTCATAAAAGGCTTCCCCATAAATTAGTTAGAAGAAGCGACTTGAATCATTTATATGATGAGTAATTTAAAAAAGTCCAAAAACTAAATCCAAAAAAGTATATTCTTGAAAGTCCGAACATAAAAAAAAAACGCTTCATTTGCAATAATAATAATAATAATAATAATAATTGTTCAACTGGGAGTATAAAACAAAATCAAAAGCAATTAAACAAAGAAAAAACACAAATCATAACTGACCATATATGAAAAAAAAACCGAGACTCCATAATTAAAAAAAAGAAAACCACTCTAAATGAATAAAACATAAAAAAGAAATTAAAAAAACCACACTTTGTGACAAAAACTCAATTGATCAATTCAATTCAAACAGAACTAAAATCATACAAAAATTCTAAGCTGACTAACCATATAAGAAATCACATCATATTACCTGGCAACGGCTACGGTAGCAATAACGGGTGGACGCATAAAAATAATAGTAATAACACTATCCTTGAACGGGAAAAACAAAAAATAATAAAAGCCGTACAAATGATCTGTGGATATAAAATCATTTAAATTTTAATATCTGTAATGGCACCACCACAACGGCCGAAAGCAACATCAATGAAATTTTTTTTTTCCCTTTGTGTTTATATAGAGAGGTAAAGAGAATATTTTTTAAAGTCGAAAGTTTATCTGATTAGGATGTAGTTGATCATCACTAATGAAAATATTGAACATGCTAATATGAAAGAAGTATATTTCACCGCATATTCTCAATTGATGATTGATGAGGAATTTGTTTTTTTTTTTTTTAATGTAGAGAAGGGATTGATTAAGGAGTCGATTGTCGTGGAGATGGAGATGAGAATTTGTGTTTTTTATGAAGTCGTATTTTTTTTTTTTGTTTTGGCGAAAATAGGAGGTGGTGGTGGATTTGGACTGCATTTGCCTTTTAAGTCTAGGAAACTGATGTGTAAATAAAAAGTTATTTTAAAAATATAGTACTTTCTCTTAAGTGTGATTTTCGTTTCTAATATAGTACTAGTGATGTCTGGTGGCGCATTGGCCCAATATATCTGTAGATCTTAGAAATGTTTGTATTTGGAAAAAAAAATATTTTGAAAAAGAAATATTTGAAGAATTTTAAAAATGTTTTATAAGTGTGATGTTTGTATTTGGCATAAAAATAAATTGTATTTAGCCCGGTACGTTTTAGAAATGTTTGAAGATTTTAGAAATGTTTTATAAGTGTTACTTCTTAAATATAAATAAACTTGATCAAATATATGTCTTGAAGTAAATGCTAGAAAAAATATAAAAGCATCCTAATAAGTTTAAATATTAGTAAGATAATTTATTGATGTTCTCCATTGGTTGTGCCAAATCAATAATTAGTTTTGGAGATTTATAATAGCTTTGTAGTTAGCTTCTTCCAAAGCGTATGTGCTTAATTGTTGGAACTATTTCTTCCAAAAGTTTATATGTAGTAAAATATCAAAAATATGATTTTGATAATAGTTAATTGTTGAAACTGGTTGATCACAAATATGAGAATGAAAATAATATAAATTTGCATAAGTTTCAAGATATAGCAAAAAAGAACTCATCTCACCATGGAAATAAAAAATAAATAAATAAAAGATAGCCCATTAAAATTTGAGAATTTTTTTTTTCTGTAGATAAAAATGATGTATAAAAACACAAATAAACGTAGAAACATCATTCCTTCCCTCTCCACCTCAAATTCATAAAAGGCTTCCCCATAAATTAGTTAAAAGAAGCGACCTGAACTATTTATATAATGAGGAACTAAAAAAAGTCCAAAAACCAAATCCAAAAAAGTATATTCTTGAAACCCCAAACACAAAAAAAAAAAAAAACGTGCTTCATTTGTAGATAAAATAATAATAATAATAATAATAATAATAATAATAATAATAATAATAATTGGTCAACTGGGAGTATGAAACAAAATCAAAAGCAATTAAACAAAGAAAAAACACACTTCATAACTAGCCATATACGAAAAAAAACCTGAGACTCCATAATTAAAAAAAGAAAACCACTCTAATTGAATGAAACATAAAAAACAAATTTAAAAAACCACACTTTGTAACAAAAACCCAATCAATCAATTCAATCCAAACATATCATACAAAAATTCTAGACTAACTAACCAAATAAGAAATCACATCATACTACCTGACAACGGCTCCGGTAGTTGTAACGGATGGACGCATAAAAATAATAGTAATAACACTATTCTTGAACGGGAAAAATAAAAAATAATAAAAGCCAAACTAATTATCTGTGGAAATAAAATCATTTAAATTTTACTACCAGTAATGGCACCACCACAACGGCCGAAGCAAGATCAATGAGATTTTTTTTTCCTTTGTGTTTATATAGAGAGGTAAAGAGAATATTTTTTGAAGTTAAAATGTTTTCCGATTAGGATGTAGTTGATCATCACTAATGAAAAGATTGAACATGCTAATAGGAAAGGAGTATATTTCACCACATATTCTCAATTGATGATTGATGAGTAATTTATCTTTTTTAATTATGGAGAAGGGATTGATTAAGGAGTCGATTGTCGTGGCGATGAGGATGAGGATTTGAGTTTTTTATGAACCCGTGGTTTTTTTTTGTTTGTTTTGACGAAAATAGGAGGTGGAAATAAATTTGGACTGCATTTGCCTTTTAAGTTTAGGAGATGTGGAAATAAAAATTTATTTTAAAAATATGATGTGGAAATGCCACATGACAAATGATGATGCTTTCTCTTAAGTTGGTTTTTGTTTCTAATATAGTAAAATATATATATAGATATATTTATATATATGTCACGTTTTGTACTTTATATTTTACAAAAAATAAGTTACTCTTTCATCATTTACCAAATGCTTTATTTTCAACTTCAAAATAATTTTCTGAGACGGAAAAAATATAACACTTGACTAACGGATTTTTATTTTTTATTTTTTCAGATTTCTTACATTGATAAAGCAAACATATTACACAGCTACTCCTTGATGATGGAAGTTGGTCAATCTAATTCTATTTCCTTTCTCCGCTTTATGTAGAAGCATTGCCATGTTTTTACACGAAGTGCCTATATATGGTCATTCGAATTTCCATGGTCCAACTTGTGAGAAATGGACAATTAGGTTAGATATCTGCAACAACATTGGGGTAGATAGAATTCTGCTCAGAAAAATTGGATCAAAAGCAATTCATGGCCTTTGCTTTCTCCTAAATAAGCCTACTCGGAGGACTTTGTGTAAATGTTTCCACTAAAGGCAAAATCAAGTAGCTGAATGAAATGATTTTTTTTAAAAAAAACAAAAAACACTGCGATCTTTATTATAAGACATTTTGATTTCGTCCTGCGTTTAATCTATATGATGTCTTTTTAATAGAAGAAAAAATTTTTAAAATATATTTTTACATTCGTTGTGTTTTCTTAATTATTATGAAATATTTTTAAGATTTTTATTCTAATTAAAAAGATATCCTAGATTAAATTTAGACGAAATCAAAATGACTTATAATAATGACCGGAAGGAGTATCTTACTAGTCAGTAGTCAGTGAGATCAATTCTCCCCTTTTCAAAAAAAAAAAAAAAAAATCTGTTCTCCCTCTAAAAGAGGCGAGGAAAAGAGTTACTTTCTAAGAATCAAAATTAATTTGGATTGTGAATTTAAACATCGGGTGCAATTTCCTCTAATCTGTCCGAATTTTCTCAACACAGTTGAAGGTTTCATGATGCTAATGTTGTAAACTTTGCCAACTCACAATCTCAGTGTCACAGCCATGAATTTGTAGGGATCTGAAACATATATATCAAGGGAAGCTGAGAATGGGGAAATGCATTGTGTTAAGACCATTCACTTTCATGACTTCGAAATGAAAGCAAAAACAACATTGAAAGCTTCCCTGCTGGCACTACATGTCCACAAACTCTTCAAGGTACACTATTTTTACAAAGATTCTGAGTCGTAGGTCGGAAAAAAAAGTAATGCATAACTTCATGTATTTTACCAAAACTCAACAAACAAGCTTTGACTAGCTGCTTCATATTGAGCAGTCTTACCAACGAAAATCAAGGATGCTGCTGGCAGCCTCTCACTCTATATCTTAAAATTAGGTAGGGAACTTCATTCTTGTAGCAGCCTCTTCAAGCTTGCGCACATTCTTTGGATAATACACTTGATTTTGGAAATATCGATTAATGCTTTGAGACCCTTTGAAGGACATCGAAGTAATCTGGGAAGGTTTTACGTGTACAACTGGGATCCTTAATGGTCACTGGCACTTCTGCACACGCCGCAAGGGAGAAAGCCATGGCCATTCTGTGATCATCGTATGTATCAATTGATGTGACGTTTAATTTCTCTGGTGGAGTAATTATGCAGTAGTCGGGCCCTTCCTCAACCGTTGCACCTAGCTGAAATTTAGATAAAATAAGAAATATTAACAAGGCAAACTTTGCAAAGATCCTGAGTAAAATGATTCTAGGCATCAAACATTTCACCTTTCTAAGTTCTGTGCATATAGCAATCATCCGCTCGGTTTCCTTGACTCTCCAGCTAGCCACTGAGAAAATAAATGAAGTCAGATCAACCAAATAACTGAATTCTTGACCCTAACTTGGACTGGAACTGTTTCCTTCAGATGAATATTTCAGACATACCGATATACACGAAAATATTGCATTCTGATAACGTGTAAAGAACTTTCTTCTTTCAACTATGTTTGAAGACAATTAATAGACTAGCACGGCGAAAACTTTAGTGTCGTCAATATGTTATGCTGATTAGTAAATCTAGCGTATATGGAACATGGTGATGGTTCGAAGATCATTTCAGTTGAACAATGAAACCAAGAAGAGGAGTGGCGGCGTACTATCTCAAGTGTGTTTCATGTCTTCCAAAAACATTCCTCAGTATTATAAAATAATGTTACAATATCATAAGTCCGCGTTTGTCAAAAGTCAGATAAGGACATCAACGATCTTACTTAATAGCATACTTTCACTAGATCATTTAGTAATTTAAACCAACAAAGTTGATTGTCATTTATGAGGCTATATATCAGGCAGATACTCTAACCAGGGAATTTATATAATACCAACAGATATTTGATATAGTAGGAGGTAAACTACATAATGTTGCAAATGCAATTAAGACAGATCATAGAGGACTTCTCCAGCTCAAAACAAATCGTCTTTCATCTAAATGACTCGGTATAAAGCAGCAACGAAGGAACTCAAGTTTCTAAAGATTGCTTGACTGACAAAAGTTATCGTATTCATTCTTGAAAAAAAAGTTATCATATTCTTCAATGGCATTCCATGTGCTCTAGAACATATTTAGTTTATTTTTCTCATTTTCTTTAGGGTAGACAAATAAATGAGGTCATAGAATTTCAGGAAATATACTGTTTCAACCAAATGAAATGGATCTACTGAACTCACGCTCCATGAAAAGAAAAGAATGCATACCATCTCTAATGGCAGTCGGACCATCAGCAAAAAGTGCAACTACGGCCAGAGTCATGGCAACATCTGGCATTTTGTTCATGTTGACATCAATAGCTCGCAGGTGTTTCTTCCCAAAAGATTCCCTTGGTGGTCCAGTGACAGTTACACTGTTTTCTGTCCAGGAAACTTTCGCACCCATCTGCTCAAGAACCTCAGCAAATTTGACATCCCCCTGTAGAACATAACATGATATAAAGTTATGAGGAACCTCATGAAACTGTGGACAGAGACAGCAGACACATCTTCACAAATGAGATTATTGCGAGTCTTGTACTGTTTTCCAACATAAAATAATAAACAAAACGCCGTTGAGTGTCAAATATGGATACAAGTACCCAGTGGACATACTAAGAGCAGGAGGACATAGATCATAATTCACACCTGCAAACTGCTTGTTCCACAACCTTCAACAGTGATAGTTCCACCGGTGACAGCTGCACCAGCCAAGAAGTAACTAGCACTTGATGCATCACCTTCAACATAAGCTTTACCAGGAGACCTGACAAGAATATTGTTAATCGCTCTGCTAGTAGAAAATTTGTTGCCATTCAAGAAAATGTAACGACACTCACTTGTATTTCTGACCTCCGTGTATCAAGAACTTGTCCCAGCTATCGCTGTGTTCTACAGAAACCCCAAAGCGTTCCATCAATTTCAGGGTCATCTCAACATAAGGAACAGAAATCAGTTTATCAACTATTTCAATCTCCACATCTCCTCGAGCAAGGGGAGCTGCCATGAGTAAGGCAGTAAGGTACTGACTACTGACTGATCCAGAGAGCTTCACCTGCCAAATTGTAATGGGAGCAAAGAAGGTTATCAATGATTTTTTATTAAACTAAATCTGGTTATTCTGGATGAAAAACTATAGCTATCTAAAACACAGAGGGGCTTTGATTGACTGAGAAATTCCCTTGATGCCCAATCATCCACATCTTAAAAACCTCAAGAATGCTCTAAATTAATGCCGAGACTTTTGCTTACAGCCAGTTATATAACTTTAACTGTATATGCATCTCGTAACATGTTCCTTTCTAATGACAGCCAGTAAGCCCGTCAAAATGACATTAGGCTTACCTTTCCCCCGGGAAGGCCTCCCTTTCCCACGACACGAACTGGGGGGCAATTTGTCCCAAGGTAGCAATCAACATCACAACCAAGCTGCTTAAGCCCAGAGACCAAATCACCGATGGGTCGCTCACGCATTCTAGGAACGCCATCAAGAACATAGCTGGAAGGTGTATAGCGCAAGTATTAGTTTAAAACAACAGATAGACATAACTTCAGATGAAAATGAATGGCTTCATCTCAGATAGTCTATGTTTGACTATACTGGAGGATATCATTCAAGTTGTAAAATAAAGTTTTCTAAAGGGCTTTCTATAACATTTTCCTAGTGCTAAAAGTTACATCGAAATCTATCCAAAAAGAAACAAACAAACCTTGAATGTCCACCGGCAGCTACAACTGCAGCAGTCAATGGCCGCATAGCTGTTCCTGCATTTCCAAGGAATAGTTGAATTTCACCTTTAGATTCCTTACCAACAGGAAACAGACCACCACTGCCCTCCACAATGGCTTGCTGTATTGTTCTATTCTCTTCTACATTCAGACCAAGAGTTCTCAAGGCACCAAGCATGTAATGGATATCATCACTTGCCAATAAGTTGTCAACAACAGTTGTTCCCTAAAAAGTACAGATGGAAATCAAATTAATACTCACAAATAGAACAAGTTCAGCAACAAGAATCTTGCAATGAATCTACTATGCCTACAGAGCAACTTCATGAATAAATGACTAATTTGAAATAGTAAATCAAGTAACAGAACTGAATTGGATACGAAGAAAAGTTTTTATTTGCCATTTACAGCAGAGGCACCCAGAATTGAATTTGTGAAAACCCTATAAGTGGAAGCTGGTTTCATGAACCAGACTTACTATTATCTAAAACAAAGTCCTGACCAGTTGAAAACAGAGGGAGAAAATGTGATTTGAGTTTGAGTTTCCAAGTTTTTTAACAATATTGATTAATTATTCAGCAATGAAGGGGAAAAAACCTTCTTCATTTATTTTGAAACTGATTCTTAATTGTTTACTGCAGTTGCATAGCAGTATTACAAGTTTAATCAGTCTGCACCCAATCATTAGGCAACAAATGCTCCATATCAATGAAGCTTAGCTTACACTTCATTGTTATTATACAATCAGGTGTTATCATCCAAACCCCGAAAACCCCACCTCCTTTTGCACAAAGGAAACATCCATTTCCTTCCCAGTTCCCGCCCTCATATTCACATAAAGCACAATCCTGTATACTAGTAACGCCCATTCAGAACCTAATCCAAGTGATCAACCGCTGACAGGAATAAGCATGTATGATATGGAAACATATTCTAGTACATGTTGATCAATCCTGAAATACAACAATAAATACTTAGCTTTACCTCAGAGAGGGCAGCGAGCAGGAGAATACGATTGGAAAGAGATTTCGAGCCAGGCAATTTGACTGTCCCAGAGATCTCCTCAATGGGCTGCAGCACAATCTCCGGCAAAGTAGAAGGTTTCTCGGCTGTGGTCATTGAAGCCAAAACCTTAAAAGGGCCTCTACTCAATGTCAAATTTGAATACTTATTCAAAACCCATGAATATTTTTCTGAACTTCCCACAACTCTTGATCCAAAAATTAAAGAATGTGGAGGAGCAGAACAAAGGGTTTTTGGTTTTGAGAGGTTAGGGGTTGTAAATTGAAGGGCTTGAATAGCTTGTGCCATTTTCTCGTCTGCAAAAACAGAGGATAAAAGGTTCCCTTTTTTTTCCTCCCCTTTTAAGGAGTTTGGTAAGCAGTGTTAACGAGGAGATGAAGAAGATGGATGGAGAGGGTAGGTGAGAGTGCTAGAAACGAAATGAAGACCAAGAATCCAAAAGGGAAGTTTGGTTTGGCGGGGGAGGGATTGTGAAAGTTATGAAGAAATCAAGATTGGTCCCATTTGTCCTAATTTGGATTTGACACTCACCTTCTTCACCAACCCTCTCTGTCCCTGTGAATATCAGTAACGTGGCCGAAGCTATGAAATTATATACTGTCAGGTTGAAGAAAGTCCTTATAAAGATTGCAAATTTGCAATAATTTAGGCCATTTCCAGCAGCCTTTTTATACCAACCCTTTTCCACCAAACCCATAATATAAAAAGAAAATTACTACAGATAACAGGCAAAAAAAGAAAAAAAAGAAAGGTGAAATAATTGGAAAATTACAACCAACCAAAAGGGTTAAAAAATAACAAAAACATCGTCCTCTGTCTAATCTCTTAAACCCTAAAACAGAGTAAAAGCCCCGCAGCTACACTCAAGTAGTGGGACTTCCGGCCTTTTTCATCCATCTCTCCGGTCTCTCTTCTCTCCATTCAGCCTGAACTGAATCACCCTTTTTAATTCTCAATCTCGATTTAGAGATGAAAAGTTCTCAAAGATCAATGAAAATGGCCTATCTTGCCGCATCCAAACCGGCTCATTTCCATCCTAAATTCACAAAGATCCGCAACACCCCACATTCCATTAAGTTGCTGTCCTTTTTCTGCTCGTCGACTTCTCCGAACCCGGCCAACACAGACCAAGAAAGTCCCAACCCGGATCAGGAAACACCTCGGTCTTCACCAAGACCCAGTAGGACGGAATCCTCCGATGCTGTTTTTGCGACAGAGGCTTCCAGAAGTCCAAGAGGTAAGCATCGAACGCCAGAAAAGTTGGAGGATATAATCTGTAGAATGATGGCTAATCGTGCTTGGACTACCCGTTTACAGAATTCAATTCGTAGATTAGTCCCTTCTTTTGATCATGAAATTGTTTATAATGTGCTTCATAGTGCCAAAAATTCTGAACACGCCCTTCAGTTCTTTAGGTGGGTAGAAAGGTCTGGACTTTTCCAGCATAACAGAGAAACCCATATGAAAATTATTGAGATCTTAGGTCGTGCTTCGAAGCTTAATCATGCTAGGCTCATTCTTTTGGATATGCCTAAGAAAGGGGTTGAATGGGATGAGGACATGTGGGTTATGTTAATTGATAGTTATGGTAGTGCAGGCATTGTTCAGGAAAGTGTGACCTTGTTTCAGAAAATGGAGGAATTGGGGGTTAAGAGGACCGTAAAATCTTATGATACTTTGTTCAAGGTTATAATGCGAAAAGGGCGGACTGGAATGGCCAAGAGGTATTTTAATAAGATGGTAAATGAGGGGATAGAGCCAACTAGGCATACCTATAATCTTATGATTTGGGGGTTCTTTCTTTCGTCAAAAGTAGAGACAGCACTAAGATTCTTTGAGGAGATGAAAGCTAGGGAAATTTCTCCTGACGTCGTTACTTATAACACCATGATCAATGGTTGTTGCCGTTTTAAAAATATGGAGGAGGCTGAGAAGTACTTTATAGAGCTGAAGGGAAAGAATATGGAGCCTACAGTGATTACTTATACTACATTGATTAAAGGGTATGTTTCTTCTTTAAAAGTTGATGATGCATTGAGATTGTTTGAAGAGATGAAAAACTATGGGATTAAGGCAAATGCCATTACGTACTCGACATTGTTGCCTGGGCTGTGTGAAGCAGAAAAGATGTCTGAAGCTAAGATTATACTGAAGGAGATGGTTGAGAAACATATTGCTCCTAAGGATAACTCAATTTTCATCAGAATGATGTCTGCACAGTGCAAAGCGGGTGATCTGGATGCAGCTTCCGATGTCCTCAGAGCTATGATAAGATTGAGTATTCCAACTGAGGCTGGGCACTATGGTATTCTGATTGAGAATTATTGCAAAGCTGGTAATTATGAGCGAGCAGTTAGTTTGTTGGATAAGCTTATTGAGAAGGAAATCATCTTGAGACCACAGAGTACTTTGCAGATGGAGCCAAGTGCATACAACCTTGTAATTGAGTATCTATGCAATAATGGCCAGACAGGAAAAGCGGAAACCTTGTTGCGGCAGTTGATGAAAATGGGTGTCCAAGATGAATTGGCCTTCAATAATCTGATCCACGGCCATTCAAAAGAAGGGAATACTGAGTCAGCTTCTGAACTCTTACAAATCATGGGTAGAAGGAAGGTTGCTTCAGAAGAAAGTTCCCACAGATCACTTATCGAGTGTTACTTGAGTAAGGGTGAGCCTGCAGATGCTAAAATAGCTTTGGATGGTATGATAGAGAATGGATATCTCCCGGATTCGTCACTGTATAGATCAGTGATGGAGAGCTTGTTTGCAGATGGAAGGGTTCAGACAGCAAGTAGGGTGATGATGACCATGGTGGAGAAGGGAGTGAAAGAACATATGGATTTGAATTCTAAAATCCTGGAAGCATTGCTTTTGAGAGGTCACGTTGAGGAAGCTCTGGGAAGAATTGAATTACTAATGCATAGTGGTCTTTCGCCTAATTTTGATGATCTTTTGTCGGTTCTGTGTGATAAAGGAAAGACAATTGCTGCTCTGAAGTTATTAGACTTCGGTTTACAGAGAGATTGTGACATTGACTTCACCACCTATGACAAAGTCTTGGATGCTCTGTTAGCAGCTGGGAAAACTCTCAATGCATATTCCATTTTGACTAAAATAACAGAGAAAGGGGGAGTCACAGATCGGCGCAGCTATGAAGACTTAATCAAGACCCTCAATGCAGAAGGAAACACTAAGCAAGCAGATATACTGTCGAGAATGATTATGGGAAAAGATGAAGGTATCCCTAAAAGAAATAAAGGAAAGAAATCTGCAACTTTAGCTTAACAAGCCTTTTTTAAAGTTTTGTCCTGTATTTCAAGGGCTAGAAACAGTGAATTTGATGACAATCTCTGTGGCCTTTGCTAAGTTGCAGAAGAATTAGATCAAACTGCACGTTTCCTTTTTTGTTTTCCTGATTAATTGCAGAAACGTTTACTGGTTTCTGCAAAATGGTTAATTGAGGCTCCTTTTTTTGTTTGGATTTGGAATCAGACAATTTTTATTGGTTCTGCAGAATTAACATTGAGTTATTGTTTGGAATAAAAGAAGAAATACATTACTGAGCTTCAAAGTGAAAGCTAGGTTGATCTGTTTGTACATAGAAACAATTCAGAATTCTTGATAGGGAGGACTTGTTCACTGTTTTTTTTCAAATGTGATTGCATGACTTGCCTCACCAGTCTTGAGTTCTTTTTTCCTCTATTGTCTTCTGTTTTAGCTGCCTGTTGGGGTGGCAGAATACTGTAATCAGTACATATAAATATGATGGATGGCAAGTGTTATTGCCGATTTTAAGATTCTTGAGTACCCTTCCAATTCCAGCTCTTAACGTGAAAGCCAACACAAGCTCTAATGACGTTTACGAGCTAGATGACAGCTTAAAGTAGTTTGTTTTCTAGTATAAAGATTATTAGCTAGAATCGTGAGTTGTGTAGAGAGCTATCCTGCTGAGATTCCCATGAACAAGACACTGCTAGTCTAAACTTGATAATGTCGATTTGTAGGGGAATGTATGATTGAATCTTTCTCCGAAAAGCTTCTGTCACAGAATGTCACCATATCAGTTCTTTCAAAGTTATGCCATCTGTTGAGAATGGAATGTTACGCTATCTTTTTCTGCTCCAACTTTCTTCCCCGGGTTAAGGGTTAAGGGTCTGAATTTCTGAAATTTAAAATGTAATTCATGCAATCTAGCCCATGTGGTGTGAATCAGCTGGCAAGTAAATTTTGCAAGCGGAGTAAGGGAAGAGAATATGCTAAGGATGTTTGATGGCATTATTGAGAATTGATGGAACCCTTAACAGATGAACTGCAAACAGTGTGGATTTATAGCCAGGAAGCTGATTAAGAGAGCTAGAATTAACTACCAACACCAACGGAGTTGGGAGCGACTTGGCATGTTAGATATGATTCACAACTCGAGCACCGGTACTAGAGATCAAAACTTCTATTATTCTATACGACTACGAAGTATTAGGATCAAACTACAAAGCATCAGTGGTTGCACTGGTTGTGTGAATCTGTAAGCTAGCTTGGATGACAGTGTCTGAATTTGAGTTGTGCTGAGCTAAAAATTTTAGAAGTGACCATGACTTTTTTTTGTTTTTTCCTTTCTTTCCTAACTGGGGGGTAAGCGGGAGACTCGAATTTCTAAAATTAAGGCGAATACGGCAATTATTATCGTTGTAGCACCGTGCGATCTCGGCCTTAGCGTGAATTGGCCGGAAATTTTGCAACCGAAGAGGTGATAATTTTTCGACAGGAGGACCGCTGAGAAGTAAATTTTGACAGTTAATAAGGGAAGAGAATATGCTAAGCATGTTTGATGGCATTGTTGGGATGGATGGAACCCCTTATCCATGGACCATATGGCCATACCTGATAAAACAGCAGACATTTTGGATAGCCAGAAAGCTGATTAAGAGCTATACCACATAAAGCCATAGCCTCAAGGCTTCAACAGCCACACAATCATCAATATGGATCAAACAGCCTCTCTGTCCTATCTTCACTTTGTCTTCTTTTGGCTACTGAGCCTCATTTTCTTGAGAGATGGATTTTCCTACTTTTGTTGAAAGGCTTGAAATTCCACACCAATCCCTTTCAACTTCTATTATGAATGTTGCAAATGGTTGAAAACATGGTAACTTTGGCCACACTCATGATTGAAAAGCTCTATCTTGCCACAAAATTCTACAAGAATCATGTTTTATCATGTTTCTGGTCACTCAGAAACCTGAAATCAGTCGACAAGTTGCTTCTTGTAAGATTACCTAGCATAAAGTCATAAAAGCAATTTAATGGGAACAATCTCTTTATATTGCTCATTAGATGCAAAAGACAGAAAAAAGTAAACTCAAGTCAATAAAACAACATCAATTACAAAGGCCATGTTCCAGTATAATATTGGGAAAGATCCTAAACTGTCTCCTCTTCACAGGCTGAAATAGATCGACAGATGAAAGACAGCAAAAGCAAGAGAGCCTATCTTCTTTTATTACGAAATCTCAACTCGCAGTGAACTGAGCCGAATCCCTTAACAAGGTTTGCTCACAGTAAACTGCATGACCAAATACCAATCTTAAAAATCTCAGTAAACAACCAGCACCTGGATGACCTAAACTAACAAAAGCCTAGGAGATACTCTTTGCTGCAGCTACAACAGCCTCTGCAGTAATGCCGAATTCCTTGTATATTTTGCCTGCAGGTGCACTTGCTCCAAATCGGTCAATTCCAATCGCCTTGCCTTTATCTCCAACAAACTTCTGCCACCCAAATGTCGTACCAGCCTCAATACTTACCCTAGCTGTTACAGATGCTGGAAAGACGCTCTCCTTGTACTCAGCTGATTGCTCATCAAAAAGCTCCCAAGAGACGAGAGAAACAACTCTGACAGTTTTGCCTTCCTTTCTGAGTTCATCAGCAGCTTTGGCTGCAATCTCCAACTCTGAACCTGTTGCAGTTAAGATAAAATCTGGCTTGTTGCCTGATGAATTGTCTGATATTATGTAACCTCCCTTCTCTACTCCTTCAATAGAAGTTCCGGGTAGCTGGGGCAATTTTTGCCTTGAAAGTGCAAGGATTGAGGGTCTCTTCCTGTTGACTACGGCAACCTTGTATGCACCAGCTGTCTCATTGCCATCAGCTGGACGCAGCATCAAAACATTAGGCATGGCCCTGAAACTTGCCAAGTGCTCAATTGGCTGATGTGTGGGTCCATCTTCTCCCAAACCAATTGAATCATGGGTCATCACGTAGATAACTCCAGCTTCACACAATGCAGAGATCCTGATGGCAGCCCTCATGTAGTCAGTGAACACAAAGAAAGTTGCACAATATGGGATGAGCCCAGGGCTGTGGAGAGCGATCCCATTACAAATGGCTCCCATACCGTGTTCACGAACACCAAACCTTAAATTACGCTCTGCGGGTGAGTCCTTCTGGAAGTCGCCAAACGACTTAAGGAGGGTCATATTTGAGGAGGCAAGATCGGCACTACCACCGAGCAGACCAGGAAGAACCTTTACAAGGGCATTAAGATTTGTTTGAGAGAGATTCCTGGTAGCATCTCCAGGGCTCTCAGGTGTATATGTCTGGAGAACATAACAAAGTAAGAATTGTTCAAATCAGTAGATATTACAAAATATAGCACGATGAAATAATTGTGTACCAACTGGTCCAACCCACAGTAGTCCTTTATCAAGGCATTCAGAAAAGAATATGCATTTTAGAAAATGAATATTTCAAATCTTAGAGAAACACTTATCAAACACAGATGGATAGACGAAGATACTTATGATAAAAGTAGAAATAAAATCAGTTGGGAAAATTTGTGGAAAAAAAGAAACACAAGAAATAATTTTTGTTCTCTTTTAAGAAAGCAACTCACAGGAAGAGCTTTCTCCCAACCAGCTGGTAGTTCACCAGTAATGATGGACTTAAACTCTGCAGCTTCCTCAGGATATTTCTTCTCATATTCGGCAAATTTGGCATTCCATTCAGCTTCAAGGGCAGCACCCTCCGGGATATGACGGCTCCAGTGCCTGAAGCAAATACAATATCAGATATAAATTTTCAGGAGATTATCTGCACATTGTAGCCAATTCATTAACCAGGAGACATTCATACTTCTTTACTTCCTCTGGCACATGGAAAGGCTCATGAGGCCATGCAAGGTTTGCCCTGGTAGCATCTACCTCCTTCGCACCCAATGCACTTCCGTGCACTGCATATGAGTTTGCCTTGTTAGGGGACCCATATCCAATTGTTGTTGTGACCTGGTAACAAAACAAGGTTTAGAAGATATGTAAGCTCAGATGATTCGCAATGGAGCAAATCCAGTATACCCAAAACATGAATAGATAACAATAAAAGAGCTGAACTGACAACCTATTCGAACTACACAATAGGCTTGGTTAGAAGTTTGTACCAAAAACCCTGAACTAGTATACACTAGCATTGGTCAATTAGTATCATACCTTAATCATTGTAGGCTTGTCTTTAACAGCTTTTGCTTCCTTTATCGCAGCACGGATCTCATCATAACCTGTGTTACCATTCTTTACCCAGATAACATGCCATCCAAGAGCCTCAAAACGGGCATCAACATTCTCAGTGAAAGCAATATCCGTATCACCATCAATAGAAATATGATTGTCGTCATAGAATGCAATAAGCTTTCCAAGCCCCCAGTGGCCAGCAAGGGAACAAGCTTCATTTGAAATACCCTCCATTTGACATCCATCACCGAGAATAACATATCTATAGATAATATACAAGGTCATTATTCAGAAGACATGTATATTAAAAATCTATAACAAGAAAAAGGCCAAAAGGCAAATCTTGAAAGTTATCTCACGTGTAGTGGTCAACAATCTCAGCATCTGGCTTGTTGTATCTAGCAGCCAAATGCGCCTCAGCAAGGGCCAAACCCACAGCATTGGCAATACCTTGGCCAAGAGGACCTTCAAAAGTGCAATTGTGAGAAAATTAGTCCCACAATCTTAATTTTCAGTTTCATGCAGTGGAAGAACATGACAGGCAGGAACAGAATCTTACCAGTTGTGACTTCAATACCGGGGGTCTCAAAGTTCTCCGGATGTCCTGGGGTTCTGCTTCCCCATTGACGGAACTGCTTCAAATCCTCCTCCTGGCATTCCAAATGAAACGATTAGCATTCAGCTCGCCAAAAAAAAAAAAAGGAGTAAAATTGACAACAATTCTATCCATAAGCACTTTAGCAGATAATAATGACACATCCACTTCAATGTTTCACTACATACCTAGACAAATAAGAAGTACCAAAGTGCAAGATGCAAAGCATAGCCAAACAAAAGAAATATGCAAAACCAAACACAGCATCCATGAACATACAAATTCTATATGCCATTACAAACAAATTTCCCAATAAATCAAAAAACCCCAAACAGACATCTCACCTTTAGTTTACTTATTTCACGAATTACACCTTCCGTCCCAAAATTAAGGAGTTGTGTTTATGGAAACAAAACAGTAGAACAGAAAGGACACTTTTTTTGGGTAACAGAGTGTAGGAAAAAAATTAAGATACCGATTCAAAATCTGATCTTATAGAATAAACGACATTTGCGATTGCTCAAAAGCGGATTCACGTGAACATGGGCTAACATCAAAGACACAAGAAGGATAAAGTATCAACCTGGACACTGTCATATCCAGCCAAATGGAGCAAAGCATACTGAAGCATGCAGCCATGTCCGGCGGAGAGAACAAAGCGGTCCCTGTTGAACCAATAAGGATTCTTGGGATTGTACTTCATGACTTCATCGTAAATAATATGGGCCATCGGAGCACAACCCATCGGCAGACCCGGATGGCCGGAGTTGGCCTTCTCGACGGCATCGATGGCCAGAAACCGGATCGCGTTGACGGACTTGTCTACGAGTTCAGTGTCAGTCTTCTCGAGGGTCTCAACGGCAGCTGAAGCCAAGACCTGAGCTTGGCGGCGGCCGGGAGTGGATCGGCGGCGAGTGGAGGAGGCGTTGGCAGCGGTGGGTGTGGCGGTGGTGGTGGGGGTGGCTTTGAGGCCGGAAAATGTGGGGAGTGAAAGAGAAGAAGGGAGGTGAGGGTTGGAAGAGCCATGGCGGGGAACGGAGCGGGCGAGGACAACTTGGGAGAGAGTAAGGGAGGAGGTAGAAGCCATGGCTGCGGAGTTCACTGTGTGTGTGCGTGTTTTTTTCCCCTTCTATTTTGTTTTAATCGTTTGTTCTCCCCCTTTGGAAAAAGCCTCCTTTAAGTTAGATGGATAGAAATGAAGATTATATGATGGAAGTGAAGGAAGAGAATTGGGGGAGGAGAAAGGGAGTTGGTGGATTTGTGATCTTGGTGAATTTTCTTTTTTCTTTTTCTTTTTTTAAGTAATTTTTTATTTATGATAATGATGATGAGGATGATTTATCATCATTTTAATTTTTGGGGCTGTTAAATCTTTTTTATTTATTACTTTTTGAAATTTTGCTGGATTATTATTAGTAAAAAGATGTTATTGTCTTTAGGGGAGAGAGGGTTGTTCGTTGTTGGTTGGTCTCTTGGTTTATATGGAGAGTCAAAACTCAAGAGCTACAATGAGTTTGACTTGGAATATCACTACCTCTAAAAGCCTATCACGCAGCTGATTAATTTAGAAATGTACATGTTTTTGGGGCAAAGGCTATAGTTTGACATTCTTAATCTCTTCTCAAAAAGTCATTAATTTTCTCATTCAACCTTGATGACGTTGTTTCACAACATAGCGTACAATTATCTCGTACTATTTCACATTTAAAAAACTATTTAAATCTATAAATGATTGATGTCAGTTGTAACACTAACATGATACTCTTCATGTTTTAAAATTGTTAGCTAATTTGAGTTTCACTTTTAGCATATTTGTACTACAAATGAAAATCTAAACTGATTAATCATTGTGGGGCGAAAAAAAGTTTACGAATTTCTCTTATAAAAATAGAAAGTTATTAGTGACTCTCAAACGCCACCGATCTAATATATGAATATTAAATATTCTTTTCACTAATGTGGTGCGAATGTTTGATAATAATATATAAAAAAAAATGTAGATTAGAGAAAAAGTATAAGCTTAACTAATTTAATACTCTTTTAGTCCCTCTTTTTTTCCTTCTTAGGGCATCACAGAAAGATGGATGGAATACAATCACTTTTTATCATATTTATAAAAAAAGAAAAGATAGAGATTATGATTTATTGTTGACATTTGAAATGTAATTGAAGTAGATAGACATAATAAAACAGTTAACTATCTTTCTTTTCTTTTTTTTTTAATTTTTTTTTTTTTTAAAAAAAGAAATTTTGGTTTGATGGAGGAGATAGGGGGTGTAGAGAAGCATGTGGTGTGTGAGAGAGAAGCTGAGACTGTTGGATGAGGAGGGTGGAGAGATCTGGAGCGTTGAGTATGGGTAGGAAATGAATGCTTTCAAATTCTCTATGATTCTTCCGTGAGCGTGGAGAGCATGCAGGATATTCTACTACGCATTCCTATAAAGATTCTCCCTTCGTCCAAAAATTATGGAAAGGTAAGAATAATTAATTTCGGATAAAAAATTTATGATCAAATGACGAAATAGTAAAATAAACACGACATTCATTTTAAATTTGATGCAAATAAACTCTCAAAGGACTAATAACTTTGTTTTTAAATCATTCAAATGCCGGAAAAAATTATTCAATGCGCCCATTGTACCACCACGTCACCATATACAATATAGTAGCATTGTTTTAGAAGAAGTTTATAATTTCTGGAAAAATTGATAAAAATTCACGGGGACAAAAAGAAAATGGTTAATTATTCGTTTTTATTGTAATTTGTTTAAAATAACTAAAGAAATAAGATGCACCTAGTGCATATAAATAATTTTTCATTCCACCCACCTATCAAAATAAAATTTGTAAAAATATTACTTGTTGTTTTTTTTTTAATTGAGCATTAATCCACTGCTATAATTGGAAAAACAAGGCCAGATTAATTAAAGTGGATGCATGTGGGTTCTAGATGATCCGTGTGTAAGAGTTGATTGCCGCTGTTTATGAAATCTTTCCGACCTACTATATTGTTATTCGTAGGAAAAACAGATCCAATGTGTCTTGACATTCTCTGATTCATCGATCATGTCTTCCTTAATCCTAAGCAAATTAGAATACTACAACTAAAAAAATAATTAAAAAAAATTAAAAAAATCCTACCCTGGATAGATTTTAGATTAGTTTCAACTTTCAATAATTGCATTTTTTTTTGTTGATGGAATATTACATTCAATACATAAAAATGGTTAGGCAACAATTGTAGTATTTCATTAGTGTGAAACGATGGAGTACATAAAAGGATTAAATTACGATGTTAATCAAAAGGGTCTCATTTGAACACGATCAAGACTCAACAATGTAGAGAGTGGATTTTGTTATTTGCGGCTCAAATACGTTTGTACACGCACCAGGTGACAAAGGAATTTGTCTAAAATAATAAGAGAGGAACAACATTCATCATCATCGTCGTATTCAACGTCAAATTCAAACAACAGATGTAAGCTGCGATGTCAAATGTTAGGTAAATTCAAACTCATTTACTAATAACTAAATAATTATTCCATCTGTCCCGAAATTATTATCCAATTTGAAATTTTACTTTCAGTATAATTTGAACTAGAAATGAAAATCTAAATTGGACAATAATTATGAGACGGAGGGAGTTTTTTTTTAAAGCTCTTCAAACCAAAAGGTGTAACTTAATTCGTGGGTCGTTGATGGAGAAATTGAGGGGCTGTGCTGTACAGGCGGCGCCATCGAAGATTCTTCTTATAAAATGGCCTAGTTTTACTCTTTCGGTCTCTCTCTTTCCGTCTCAAAGTGATTGTTTAATTTAGAAATCAGTTTCTACTTATTAGCAATCAGCTTCTCTTTTCACTGTTTTACTAGTAGTATGTTTCCTAATGAAATTTATTGCAGGAAAAGAGAACCAGGAATTTTATTTTATTTTAGCAAGCATTACATAATACAATTCCAACACACTTGATTCTGATCAAAACTCAACCAACAAGTTTACAACTCTAACACAACCTAAGAACTTGCAATCAAAGTCTAATTTTCACCTCAACTTGTTTTATTTACTTTCATAAACATAATTCAGTTGGCAACCGGTTGGCTTCCGCATATGTATATAAGATGCGGTACTAGTCCTAATGAAGTGCATTAAGAAACAGGAGAGTTGACAAAACAGCTTTGTTTTTGTTCTTATCACCTTGTATATAGTTCCAAGTCATTCATCGGACAACAGACACACACATACTTCCTGTAATTACAAAGCTACAAACCACAGGAAAACACCTCCACTATTGGTTCGTAAAGATTTGATTAATCTTACGTAATTCTAGCTCGTTTACAGCTTGAAGCTGAATTTCGGATCCCTTCACCTGTAACTGAATATGGAGCTGATGCTGATCGAAGTGAAGGTGACTTGTCAAGATGTGCACATCGCTCATTGCCATTCCAGTACAGAATGATCCGATTTGTGCAAGCATGTGACCAACTATCACCTGTTAAGCAAGACTAGAACGAGTTAGAAACATAAATATGTCTCCAAAAGAAAAACTGAGACCAGCTATCCTTTTTTTTCCCGACAACTCAACAGAATGTCCAATATTAACACCATGACAAAAGCAGAAGATAATCCTTCAGGAAGGAAAAGCATCACAGATTCATTTCTTAAAGAGAAGAATGTGATCTTACCTAGGGCAAGAGTCAAATGAAATGAACCACCTGAATACTTTGTAGTTACTTGATTCAACAGAATAACCTGCACAACCTCGTCGTAAACTTTAAAATTGCATTGGTTATAGTCACTATAACCTGGAAAGGAAGCGAAGTTACGTAACCTTAATACGAACAAGCAGGAAAAGAGATGCTAATTCTTACTGCTAAACTGAACTTCTTGGCAAGTTTCATCAACTTTAAGGCCATTCCACCGAGTAGCCGAGTTCTAAGAGCCATGTCTTCAAAATCTTGGCGGAAGTGAAATGTAATGCTGTCAACGATAACAACCTTAACCTATGAAAAGAAAGGATTGCCAATTATTCCCATGCTACAGATATCTTTATTGCCATCATAAGGTAACCAATTAAATGCTGCACCCACATCAGGATGCTCTGAGATGAACTTGTCCAGGTAGTTTATGACGGCAATTTGTTCAGTGTAACTGCAAATTCGAAAGTAATTTATATTGGCAAGGAAATCATTTGATGTCAGTTTAGCTTGACAGCCTGGCAAATCCTTCCTGAGAAAGTGATCATATTCTTGCATGTCCTTGATGCATGCTTCAGCGATTTGTGAAGCACGTTCCACCATAAAGCTGCCTTCTGTATCTGAAACCATGAAACTAGTGACTCTTTAACCGGAAAGTTAGAGAGAAAAGAATTAGAATATGGCCGGTGCCTTATGGCCAGAAACGATATTTGTATGATATGCAGTTACCTATATAGACTGCTTTCCCTTCGACGCCACCATAACCAACTGGGATTTGGACATTGATGGCAAGCTGAATTCTGCATGCATTCATAGGTTGATACAATAATATTAAAGAAACAAAAGAATATGCCAACAGCCGACAAGGCAACAACTGAGAGTAGAAATTGTTACCCAATTTGTGTTTTACCGATTCCTGGCACTCCACCTGATATGATTAGATATAGGTGAGAATTCATGTTTTTCTTCTCTTTCTTTTACTTGTTTATCAGTTACCAAATCGGTATAATCTCAAATTACGTTTTTTTTTTCTCTTTTCAATCTGAAATAATCGTGGCACTCCAACTTGGAATAAACTAGAATTGAACTGGAAAGACTGCAGACAGAACAGAATGCTAACCAATTTCAGTGACTTCTTTGCAACTTATTCCACCACCTAGGATGTCGTCCAGATCTGAACAAGAGGTGGTAATGCGTTTACAAGCTTCCTCCTCATGCAACATATCCCAGGCAGACTGTGCTCCTGTCCAACAGGATAACTAATTCCATGATTCGCTGGAGTCCAAATTCAATGAAACATTGACTGGACAAAACTATCCGCTAGAGGACAAGAACAGAAAGTTACAGAACACCTCTAAATATGACCAATGCCAAGATAATGATTCTGCAGATAAGCTAATGGCAGACAGAACACCTATGAGTTATAACGGTGCATCTAGCAATATTATTAAGCTGCTACTTGCAGAGACAAGGAATTCAGTTACTCTGGAACTAATTATTGCACCACCAAAATCCCTAACTTGAAGCCACAAACAGCTAATGCACCACTGACAGATTTCATTCACACATCCAATATACATAAGATGAATCCTTAAAGTCTCAGAACCATAAAAGATCATCAAAGAATAAGTTGACTTGCAGCTGTAAAAAATGATGCAGGTACCTTTCGCTAAAGCTAATTCAAGAATGCAGTTAAGTAACGACAACACATCCCAAACAGAAAATGACTCGCAACAGGGAGTAAGCAAATGTGACCTAACAACATTAAGCAGTGACGTATTTATTATTCTTACCATTAACAATAGCAAGATGACTTTCATGTGGTCTCTCCACTCCACCCCTTTGAGATGCAACTTTCAAAATTGCAATGGCCTCATTCTCCGAAACCCCCAAATCTGTCAACAAAAAAAGGAGGGAGGGGGATAATTGAGCTCCCTAAAACATATCACTTAAATATTCACACCCATAGCAATGCCATTTCAGAAAAGAATTAAACTTTTTCGCAGACCCTTTTCAGAAAATGGAAATATGTTCTCTAAATTACTCCTACTGCAACAAATTCCAGTGGCATATAATAATAATTACAAGGAAAAACGCAAAACTCAAAACCCGCACGAAAAGATTGTGTATTTTTAGAGCTTGGGTTAAAATTAGACATAATACCTCGGGCTAGTTGGGCAGGAATAACTGAGGAGAGCGAAGATATAGAATTGTAGCCAGCGGAGATCAGTTTCGCTCTTTGAGAAGCTGAAATTGGTAGACTTGCTATCTCCATTTTCGGGTCTTTTGGTTTAGGGTGGTACTTTTTTAAATGGTCAGCAGAATGGTAATGGATTTTTAAAATGTACGCAACTGAGATGGTTTTCGCATTTAAGGAATCCGAAATACTAACAATTATTAATAATTCAGATTTCCTATTTCTGAAATACGTTTAAAATATATATAAATTTCTGGATTTCAGGAAAATGCGAAAATTAATTATGTTTCGGATGTACTAAATCCGAAACAATATTTTCGAATTCACTATATCCGAAATAACCCTATCCAATTCTACTCGTTATTCTTTTGACACGTGTAATTTTATCTGCAGTGTTTCGGATTTGTGAAATCCGAAACATACTTGTCCAGAACAAATTCTGAAATCGATCGTACTCATTTAGTTCCAAACCAAAACATACGAAATTTGGCAGCATCTCTTTCTCTGGTCGCAATCCATGTCCCAAATGTGTTTTCAAGTGTTGCACCATCATTCTTGTAAGTTTTGTCACTACTTTTAAGTTGTTTTTTATTTATAATTGTTATATTGCATTATTTCTTAGTTAATTTAAAATTTTTAATATAGGATTTTGGTAGAAAATGACTTCTTTACAACCATTCCCATTGAATTTATTTTGGACGTGGCAATTCGACAATGTTTCTGCTAGTAATATCCCGTTCGGGACAATTTGGGTAGATAAAATGTTGCCATTCTCAGATTTGGTTGGAGAAATATGTGCAATTGCAAAATTAGATAAAAATCGGGTGAATTTGAATATTTTAATGGTGTGCGATGAGCAGAACATTAGAAGGGGGCCATTCGTTGTTCAGGATGACAACTCGATACGAATGGTTTATCATTATTCAGTGTATTATCCAAAATTATTCATCGAAGTGATAGATGTTCATGTATTACATCGTGGTAGTACATCTGAGCACCATATGGCCGTGTTGATAATGTTGAGAGTGATAAAGAACCTGACCCTGCGAATGTAAGTAATTCAAATGCAAGTGACACGGATGCAAGTGACTTGGATGAAAGTGATTCGGGTGCAAGTGATACTCCAGTAATTGAGGAAACAGGACAGTTCATTTTTAGTGATACTGGTGACCTTGATCCCCGATTAGTAGGTCGTGATCCTACTGCTCCAGTCTTGTGGGATGAGAATTTGGATAAAATTGGTGTTGGGACATGTTTCCGTAGCAAGGAAGAGTTGAAATCTGCCATTACCAAGTGGTCATTGAGAAAAGGGGTGAACTTTTGTAAAAAAGAGTCAAGGGAACGTGTATGGGCTGTTAAGTGTGTAACCTTAGATCCCAAATATCCAGCTGAGCGGAGGCACGACACTACATGCCAATGGAGTATGCGAGCAGTGCAAAAAGTTGGTAAGCCGTATTGGGAAATAACAAAATGGGTGGAAGATCACAATTGTGACGGTACATCAATAGGCAGCAATAGTCGAAATGTGAGTTCCACAATGATTACAAAAATGATCCAGCCAAAGATTCAGACAAATCCTGTATACGGCATGAAGAGTATCCAAGAGGATGTTTTAGCATACTTTAAATGTAAGGTCAATTACGATAAGGCATGGAATGCAAGAAGGAAAGCAATTGACCTTATGTATGGTAATTGTGAAAAAAATTTCAGTGAACTCCCCAAGTATTTGGAGGCACTACAGAGATCAAATCCAGACACTAGTGTTCAGTGGAAGTTTAAAAAGGTTAGGGTGGATGGGTGTAAGACTTTTAGATATGTGTTTTGGTCGTTTGGGAGTTGCACGCAGAGTTTTCATAATTCATTTCCGGTTGTATGTGTTGACGGAGCTCATCTTCGTGGCTCATACAAAGGAAAGTTGCTTGTAGCGGTGGTGCAGACTGTAAATACTCGCATTGTTCCCATTGTGTATGTTGTCGTGGATGATGAGACCGCACACAGTTGGAAATGGTTCCTTAAATATCTAAAATTAAGAGTTCTCGGGGAGAGGAGTACATGTATTATTTCAGATCGACATGCTGGCATTATTTCGGCTGTAGAGCGCATCATTGCAAAATATCTAGGGTCTATATGCCATAGATATTGTATACTGCATGTTCGAAGCAATCTGATGGAGAAGCATCGTTTTAAGGGAGTACAATATTGGTGTTGGCAAATGGGCACTAAGCTGCAACCAAAGAAGTATAATAGAGCGAGGCGAGCTATCACAGAAGCCAACGAAGGAGCTATTAAGTAGCTTGACAAGCTTGATGTATGTAAGTGGACACTTGCACAAGACAAGGGAAAAGCTCGTTGGGGTATGACTTCAACCAACATTTCAGAGAGCTGGAACAATATACTTAGAGATCCTCGTTTTTTGCCAATCAGGGCAATGGTTGAAGCCACACTTGATAAAGCAGCATATATCGTCCGGACTGAGATCAATAAAATCAATGGTTGCCATACCTTTCTTGCAACAGAACCCATGAATTTGTACGAGAAGTATCGGGTACGCTCTGTGTTACATATTGCATATCTTTATAATTATTTCGATCTTGTCTACAAAGTGACAACATATATGAGTCCGGAAAGAAAGGGTGGAAACAAGCATACAGTGCGTTTGAATGAGATGTCTTGCACATGTGGCAAGTGGCAGACACACAGGTTTCTATGTTCCCACGTCATGACTGTTTTTGCACTAAACAAGGATGACCCGAAAACACTTGTAAGTCCGTATTACACAGTTCCTGGGTGGAAGGCACAATTTCATGGAGGGTTTAACCCCGTGCCTGATAGAGAAGATTGGCCTGAATTGAACTGGCGCCTGCGTCCAGATCGGAAGAGACTTATCAAGTATGGAAAGGGCCGGAAACAAACAAAAAGGTTCCCCAACAACATGGATCTTGCCCGAAGACAAGGTCGTCGTACGTGCAATAGATGTCACGGCAACCATGATACCAATAGATGTCCTCTTTCCCATCTCCCATCAGACAGGACCCCGATAGACAATGCATATGCATATGATGCACATGGATTACACGGCAATGCAACATTGTAATTCTATTTCAGTTTCACTGTTTATGTTTTTGGAAGTGTTTGACAAAAACTTGTGATATGATTGTAGTGTATTGTGTTTGATGTTTGCCTTTTGTGATAAGAATGATCCAACATAGTATAATACAATACAACATAACTACACTATATAACAACACAGGTAACTTAATACTAATAACTGTAATAATACACATACGTGAAATATCATTATAGCACTATTTGTAAATAATACAAATACGTGAAATATCATTATAGCACTATTTTTTTAGTTTAAAAACATATTTACTTCAATTCTAGGTACTTTTGAATTTGTTATTTATTCTATAGAATTTTTTGACATATTGGACCTAAGTAAAAAAAAAAATTTCTGGAGGCAAAAAAAATTAAAAAAAGACTAATTTATGAATTAGAATTTTGAGTTTTCCTTAAAACTTACAAAACCCTCGAACTATACATGTGAAGTTGAAAACTAAATTTAATTTTAAGTCTTATTTTTCCCTAAAATAAATTAATGGGATTTTTTTTTTTATTGAGGTACATCATTATGTGACTTTTACGATAAACAAAAATAAGTAATTTGCTTGAGGAATAAAATTTCTTGTTGACCTGAAAATTACTTCATTTTTACTGATAAAACCAATTTCGGATAAGCAAAATCTGAAATATATTATTTCGGATTCCTAGTATACGAAACGTGTTGTTTCGGACTTAGAGAACCTGAAATATTTCTATTTTTTTCATTTATTTTCTGTCCCAATTTTTTTAATTTGTGTTTTTCTTTTTATGTCGGATAAGCAAAATCCGAAATATGGTATTTCGGATTCCTAGTATACGAAACGTGTTGTTTCGGACTTAGGGAACCCGAAATGTTTCTATTTTTTCCATGTATTTTCCGTCCCAATTTTTTTAATTTGTTTTTTTCTTTTTACAATATATTGTTTCGGATTTAGGTTATCCGAAATATTAAGAATTTCCTGCTTAACACAATAATCTTTGTTTATGAAATATATTAGCAAGTATTTCGGATATCAAGAATCCGAAATACATGTATTTCGGGTTTAGTGAATGCGAAAACCACCTACATGCCGACAATTTAAAAATCAACCCCCTTTTTGCCTATTATTTGAAAATCCATCTCCCCAATCCAAATGATCCCCCCATTTTCTCTCCAATGATCTTCTCCCGCCACTGTGTGACTGCGTGTTTCTTTTTTTGAGAGAATTTTGGCGCTTGTAGGACTGACGAAGAGAGTTGAGTTTGGGCTTTGAGCGTTCCACGGCCCAACTACTTGGTTGACTTGGCCCGGTGTTTGAATATATTCATTTAGTAATATACTTTTATGCCGTTTTAATTCAACAAAATATATTACTCTCTCTGGTACTTATTATAAGATCTTTTGATTTGTTCGAAATTTCTTTTAGTATATTTTTCCAATCGAAAATAAAATTTTACAAATATTTTATAATAATTGGGGCTTGAGAAAACTTAATAAATATAAAAATATATTCTTAATGTTATGATTTCAATTAAAAGAACATGTAATAGAAACCGGAGGAGTGTTACAAGAAAATTTGACTATTTTATTGAACAAAAAGAATATTTTCGTTTTAAGAAGAGTTATGATGTATACAAGAAATTTTTTTCCCTATACTAGTGTTTATCCCGCACGTTGTACGGGTTGTTCAAGATATATATGAGGTTAATGATTTAACGATTGTATGACCTTATTGATGGAGTGATATATATAAAAACAAAATAATTTACTGATGTAATTTGAAATTGTGTAATTCTTAATGTCAATGCATTTTGTTATTTTGAATAATTTTTAATATTCTAAATTATCCAATATAACTTGTTGTCTATCTTTTCCGTTTTGTTGATTTATGACTTTATATATTTTATTAGAAGTATACTCTTAATTTTACATAATACTCCCGTGTCACATCTTTTATATAACAATAAATAAAAGGAAGAAATAGTGAAAGAGACCGTGCAGATCTTCTGTTTCGGCCAATTGAGTTTGAACAGTAACATCACAAGCAATGGTAATTGATGATGATGATAATAATAATAATAATAATAATAATAATAATAATAATAATAATTAAAAACCCTTGCTAAATACAAATTTGGTACTTTTTTGCTCTTTCTATATTCCAACTAATAGACGCTTCGTCTGATTGACCAGAATAGTTATCTACAAAGTCTCATATTGATTTATTGGCAGAAGTCAAAGGGAGAAATAAGAAACGTATTGATTTCTTGGCATAAGCCAAAGGGAAAAATATGAAATGGAGGGAGAAGTAAGATGCCGACCCAAAGGGAATTGAATTGTACTTCCTAGTATTAGATCTGTATTTAATTACATTTAAGTACGGTCCATTGTGGTGAATTTTTTATTTTATTTTTTTCAATCAGAAGTGTTTGACCTTTTGTTTGGAATACGGAAATGTGAAACCCTAGAGTTGATGGAAACGGGTAGCCAAATGCTGGCAAACATCTTATCCAACGGGGGTTCCTTTCCTTGGAATTCACTTTGAAATGGTAGAGATCCATGCTATTATGGAGAGAAGGGGTTATACAATACATCATATTTTCAGAGAGATTAATGCGGTTGCGGATAAGCGGATAGCTTACCTCGAAAGGCTTCAGTTTGATATTTCGAACAATATGCGGGTCTTGGTGATCTTCCGAGTTACTCCTAGGGCCTTCTCCTCTTAGATCAACAGTCTATGCCATATGTGAGAGTCCGATCGTCTTAGTAAAGTAGCTACATAATATGGACCTTTGTTATAATAGCTAGACTTTATTATATATCTACACATTTCTGTATTCTGGTAAATTTTAGGCACTGTCAGCTCTTCTATCTTTAAATAATATGGGGATTTTTCGGGCTTTGTGTTGGGGGTTTACAATAGTCATTTTAGAGGTTATCCCTCTAATTATATTATTGTGCCTCTCAGCTTAAAGTTTCGCAAGTCTTTTTTTTTTTTTTTGCTTAAAAGAAAAAAAAAAGATGTCGACCCAATAACTCTTTAGAAGTTTAGCCAATGTCCCCTTTTCCTTTGTCCGCCAGCCTTCACCATTATCAACGGTAGCATCCCTGATCAATATCCGAATAGGTTTTCTATATATGAAGAGCGTGTCAGAGAATAATTTAAATTATAAATTGATTAACTTGGTCTTGATTAGCGGAATAAAGTTAGTTATCTATTTTTTTGCCATGTGAATCACCCTTCCTCATTCTACGTCATGTGTTTAACTGAAAACTCTCTTTTAATATGGTCGATTTGTTTATTTATTAATAATAAAAATACTTATCTATTCTATCTGTTCCAAAAATTAGTAATTTGTGTAATTTTCTTGTGGTCTATGAAAATTTTAATAAAAATAAAAGATGTATCCAGACTTCAGAGTAAACATTCACTGGAGTGATATATTTTTCTTAAAATATTGTAAAAAGATATCTGTTTTATATTTGTTCCATTTTTATTTAGTAATATATGACCATTAATTATTGTGCCATGACATAGAGTTTACTCTAAGCTCAATAAAAGATACCTGCACATTTTTTATGGTTATCTAGTAATTAATCATTGGGATGAAAATTTTTAAAAAGAGACTTTAGTTCAGAATAATCAATTAATCATAATACAGGGTCACATAACAAATAGTATTATTATGCAAGGACTAATAAAGTAAATAAAGATGTAAAATTTTACCGTTAAGGGGGAAATCTCCTAATTAATTTAGTTTTATCTATAAATTTACAATTTTACATTAAAAAATTATCGTTAAATGATGGAGCGATGTGGTTGCGACATGTGGACTTGGCCATCTAATTTTGCGTCATGTGGATTAACCTATCTAACTTTACGTCATGTGTCCGATTGAAAACTTTCCTTTAATATATATAAAGATATGTATCATTATTTTTCATATAGAACCATTTTATTCACTATTGCAACAAGATACCTAACTTGCTCGATTTGTAAAGTCTAGATAGAAAGTGTAATGTCAATTAACAATACTATCTCCGTCCCACAAAAATAATCCACATTAATTTTTAAATTTTGTATTGTTTTTAGTACAAAGTTGAAAACTCAAAATGGACTATTTTTTTCGGACGGAGGTAGTATATAGTTACTCACTTTTCAAAACCACTCTCTTAATCCCAAAATGATTGTCATGTTTGGATTTTTACTTTTAACACAAGTTGTACTAAAGACGAAAATTTAAAATAGATAATCATTTCGGGATAGCGTGAGTAAATACTTTTTATATTTTGAACATGACCATAAAAGATTACAAGAGCTAGCAATCAGAGTTCAATAATTTAGTATCAGAATATACATTTTTGTAACAGAAGACTTGGAGCCTTCCTGAATCCAATAAGAAAGAGAAAACTACGCTAGACCAAGAAAAGGCAACTTCTTTACTTGTGTTTCCTCTTACAATGAGGAAAAGCCTTTACAGCAAAGGATCTTTAACTCATTGGCTCTGCTCGCCAACTCTGTCCCTTGGCATCGTAAAGTCAACGTGATGGAGCTTGAAGCGCTAGTTTAACGCTCCGCCACAGCATATGAGCTTTCCGGTGCCACTTCACAAGTATTTGATCTCAGTGCAGTGATTTTCCAGAGACGAGGGCTTCAGATGTAACATCACCCCGGATCAGAAAATTGTAGAATTGTCAAGTTGTGTGCTTCGGCTGCTTTTGCAGAGATTCCTGGATGATAGAGGTTAGTGATGGATGCACCCGAGCTGTTTTCACTGATCGGGCAATGCTTCTACCTTCTACATATTCCTCACCCAGAGGCCATCTTGGCCGTAGATCAATCTGGAAGCATGGATAACTTCTATAAGATTACATCAAAAACAGGAAAATACTGATACAAACACCTACAGTTAGCAAAATGCAACAAGGCCATAAAGCACTAGAATTCACACACGTAAGTCATAACTTAGCTAGTTTTACTTGAGCAACTCATTATGAGCTTTCCTACAGAGAATCAAATGTTCTTCACCTCAATACTTGATATTGCTTTATCTAAGATGCTACAAATAAAGTATAAATCTTGGCCAACGGGGTCAACTTTTAATTAGAACTAGAGAAACCTACAACACCTACCCAATCACGTGCCAATTCCAAGTGGAAGGAAGCAAGATATAAACAGGAATTGATCTCCGAAAACTTGATTAATGTATAATAACCAACTCATGCATTAATGAAATTTCTACCTGATGTGAGAAGAAGAGTGTTCGAGAGTTACAATGTATAGTGATTGCTCCATCTATTCAGTTGATATCAACTTAAACACCAGCACCAAAAGCAATGAAAGAGCAATTCGATAATGTGGTAAACATGGGACAGATACAAACCTTGACATCGTCGGGTTCATTGACCGGCGGAGGAGGATCAAATCTTCCCACACGGAAATGCTCAATGCCAGTCCAAGCAATCATCACACCTTATAGTATACACCAAGTTATTTTCACAAATGAATATAAATTTAACAAGGTTTAGCTGATTTTTGATAATAAATGGAAAAGTAATGTCATAGATGAATTATGGTACTGATTATTTTGGTCCCAGCTCCAAAAGAAACATGTCTAACAACATTTCTTCCAAATTTTGTTCATATTACAGTAGTGTATTTTACTTAATTTGGACAAATAGAAAGCATTCAACTATGGGCTAAAAGAGTTCATAACACTTGAAAGCGTCAGAATAATCTTCAAATGCATATTAATTCCAATAGAGTCAATATCAGGTAAAGGTTAACTGATAGAATAAACAGCTAACCATTATCGGTACAGAGGCTTGGAGGAGGGCACACAAGTTGCAGGCCATTCTTTTCAACTACTTGCTTAAGGCGAGACCTGACGTACTTGTTCGAAGCAACACCTCCAGAGGCTACCTACACTAGGGAAAATAGAGCCCATATAAGATGATGTCACAAAACATAAACAAAGCAAAAGTAAAGGGCCAAGGGAGGAAGTATAATATTGGACATTGTGAAACAAACTACTGCTAATTGATAGACCAAGTGCAAACAAATAAGAATCCAAATATAAAATTAACAGACCAAATACTTTATTGAAGGATCTATCTTCAATGCCCACTCAATGGCTCGTTGGCACTTCTCCTCTAAATGTAAGACTGCAACTCGCTGCACATAGCAGAGTTATCAATTCATGAAATCATTAACCACAAAACATCTCCTTCTCGTTAAGAAGCAAAATGTACATGGATAATGCAAAATTAAGTTAATTCAAACTAACTTCAATGGAAGTGGAAAATAAATAGCAAGCTGTATTTTTACCTGGAAGGAGGCAGCAATGTTTGCCCGGGCACTTCTCTCTTTGCTATTAGCTGCAGAAATCGGGATCTCAGGAGTACTGCACAATGCCAAAGATAGATCAATAACTAAAAACGGACAATAGCTGCAGCAGACAGCATGTTACTTGCACATGTACCAGCTTATGATCTTCACACACAATCCAACAACTATTCGCAGACAAATGTAGTAACCACTGTAACAGAAACTGATTCTTCTCGATCTTTCATATTTTCGACAAGGATATGCATTATGCTATTTACATCTGGTGGGTAGTTACTTCAAATTCTATAAGAAAGAGCAAGAATATTCATCCACAAAATACACTCTAATGAGATCCTAATACCCCCTAACTTGAAATGTCCTTCCATTATTTTGGTAATTATTTCTTGCTAGGACGTTTTGTGTACGCCCACCGGTGAACTTGTAGTCCAAGACTGCCAAATGCTACCATTTACTCAAGTCTAAGCAAATGAAAAGCTAACGTAAAATCTGTAAGTGATCCATCAATGCATATTGAAATAAATGTAATCTTTCACAATTTCACGTAGATAAGATGAAAGTAGAAAAGCGACTGTAAAACACGGTTAGAAACTTCATAAAGCTAAAAGCACATACACATTTTGAGCTTCAATTGCCAGCCTCACTTGATTTTTAAGCCCCGCAAATGAAAAGTTGCAGTCTTTGTGCTGTTTCATTGGTACCTATCAAAACAATAACCGTCAGGCTTGTATCCAAGCAGGGGAAAATATACTGCCAAGTTTTAAGATAAAATGAAGACACTTCATAAGCAAATTCTCCAAACATACTGTAAATTTGATAGCTTTGGCATCTCCCTCTAGAGCTAATTCTTCAATTGCAGGCCCCCCACTTCTCCTCAGATCAAGACCAAGCCATTTTGCTGTCTTGTCATATGCTTCACCAATTGCATCATCAATCGTGGTTCCCAATTGTATGTAGTGACCCAGGTCACGTGCAAGAACTACAAGGTTATGACCCCCTAATAACAAGAGAATTGAATGTTCATGCCATTAGTTAGTTGAGAAGAAATACATTTAGCTTAGTAAGCACATCAAAACTAAGATAAAGTTACACCTATTTGAGAAAGCACAATCACTATAAAATAACATGAACTGCATATCCTATGTGTCTGTGTCAAATTAATTGGATAATGACCCAATTGCAATTGCACCAGTCCAATCAAGTACTATATGTAGCACACACCTCTCTTCACACTCTATCTTCTGTTAAGACAGCATGCTTGTGAAATGAATATGTAAGAATTAGTCTAGGGGTGTATAATACCTGAGATGAGCAGCGCCATAAATGGGAATTGCAATTTCTTTTCCACTAACCTAGCAAGTGAGAAAAATAATAAATAACTCAATAAAATGAAAGGAAAATCATTAGCCCGGATATTCTCTTTTGAGCCCTCAGCATAGACTTGTACAAGAATATGAGATACATGAATCCCAATAATACAGAATCAACTTTTCGTTTTTAAAACGGAAGGAAGTTCTATGTTCATGATCATCAAAAAGAGCACACAGCCCTGCCGTCCTTCAGCAGCCAGTTAAGTCAAGATAAAAACAACGACAACAAAAACAACAAAAACAACAACAACTTTTCACAACAACAACAACAACAATATCCCCAGCATAGTTCCAACCAAGTAGGGGTCTAGCAAGTCAGTTGTATGCAGCCTTACCCTTGTAATTACACAAAAAGGCTGCTTCCGTTGGGACCCAAGGTACATTGTGTCATCTGATATATTTATTCCAGCAACTTCACTAATAGAAGAAGCACTGGAATTAAAGATAGCGTCAACAAAATGAGAAAAGCTTAAAGTGAAAGCTTATAAATAATTCTTTGGAGTAAAATCTTAGTTCAATTGGTTATATCTGGGATGTAGGTTCATTTCTTCAAAACCATCATATTATTCACAGCGCAAATCCCAATAGTTCCTCTAAGTTATTGAGGAAAAGCGAAGAAAATACACTTCTGCAGCCATGAGCAAAGTGACATGGAAAAAACAGAACAGTTCAAAGAAATATTCGGGCTAACCCTTACATTACTAGAAAGGCTGCATCTCCAAAAATACTAGAGCTCTGATAAATTTTACAGCTCGATTTTCAAAAGGAATTTTACAAACACTAACCTGGCTACTAGAGCATGAGCCTCCATGTGGTGAACCCCAACTAAGGGAAGATTAAAGCTGCCGGCAATTTTGCGAGCCTTCTGTACACCAACTACATATGAGGAGTGAAAATTAATGAGTACATATATTGCCACCATTCATCCAACGAAAAATTAGTAGCTGGACAGTTTTAGCCTGAATTAACAATTCTGGTAGTGAAGTTACATATGTCTAAGATAATTCCTTAGAAGCAAACCAAAATCTAAAAACATTTACGTTAATCCGTTGTCATGTGTAAAATTGAGCTCTTCAAGCAATGTCATGTTTCCTAATGTACCAACAGAAGAATAAGGGCGGTGTTTGCTAAAGGATAAGAAAGTTCCACAAGAAGGTTACCGTGTAGACAAAGGCTTAAACCAGGACCTATTGTGACAGCAACTGCCGAAAGATCTTTTTCTCTTACTCCAGCTTTATCTAAGGCATCCTGTACTACCTGAAACCAGACGCAATACCTTAGAGATAGCATTTAGGTAATTCAATCAAAACATGACACTTCCGTATCATCAATCTGCTCTAAGGCAGGTGCATCTAACTATCAACAGCTACAGCCCAATAATTAACGAAAGGAAACAACTAATAATTTTACTATGAAGTTTCAGTCAATTGGAAAAAGATCGTGGGTCATGCTAGTTGCATATGTTCTTGGAATTCTCAGCAATAAAGCGTAAGTAGTAAGCATAAAATAAATATAAATTGCTTAAATATCACCAGATTTTACAGTAATTTAGAAAGATATGCCGAGGAACAAGGATATAAAAGGGGAAAAAAAAGTTCTAGTACATGATAGAAGTGAAAGAAAATCACACGATTGAGGTGATGAAAGTCACTGTGATACATCTAAAAGATAAAAGAACCAGTTACTACATGGTACTCAGATGATTACTATTATCCCACATCACATAAGCAGGATGCAGTTATTTAGCAAATGAAACAGAGACAACAGCAAATAAACTGCTATCACTCTTTGTCTATATACATCAAACTTCACCAATACGTTCTGACAGAACACATTTTTGTTATTTTCAACAATAAAGTCCTTTTGAATCAAGAGGTTTCAGTCCTCATTGTCTCCTATTGACAAAAGAAAATTAAAGAATAAAGATAAACAACATTTTATCTTATGAAATGAGATCTCCTATAGTTTGGCTTGAATAAACACAGAACGAATCCAAATCAGAAGCAAGATTCAGAAACAGAACAAAAAGGGAACCAATTGCAATCTTGTGCAGCTGGTTTAATCTAATTTCTGTACCTGATCAATCACGGCCGCATGTGCTTCTTGAGCCATCTTAGGAGCAACTCCTCCATATTGAGCAAGCAATTCGGCCTTTATGAAGTTAAAATGCAAGTTAATCAAATGAGGAGGGAAAGAAAAAGAAGGAAAAAAATACTATGCCAAATCCAAGATGATTAAGAGCGCATTGTTGAAATCAAGTTCCAGTTTGACAGTGACAACAACCAAGCAAACCATGAAATCTTTTCAATCATTCCGACACACAATGATAAATATCAGTGACATAACAATGCATTGAACAAATGTCTGTACCTGGGATGACACGACTTGGCTCAAAATCTCACCATTGCTTCGAACCTATCCAAAAAAGAAAAAGAGAAATACCATCAAAAGGGAAACAAGAAGGTGGACAGAATAGACATCAAATACAAAAAGGGGCACAAATAAAAAGATTGCAACTTAGAAAGAAAGAGAGAATTTTTATGACTTACAACCGCTGCAGCAGTATCATCACAGCTAGTTTCAATTCCCAACATGGTAATATCAACCTCAGGACTTTCTGATGATGATGGGTTTTGCAACTGAGCTTGTCTGGAACTGCAATCCGATGCGCAACAATGGGTTTTACTTGAATTCAATGGAGGAGTCAATCCTAACCTCCTCGGAGACGGTAAAGGTTTCATCGCTTTAACTTGTGAAAACAGTTTGGGTGAGCGAAGAAGGTTTAAGCGCCAAATTCTTGACGAAATGGCGGGTACCAATGTCGCCATTCCAAGGCGCGGGATAAGGGAAAGAAGGAGGTCAGTTTCCACTTTCTAGGCAGAAGCAAAACCGGCTTGGGGTCCTTTTCTGCGGTTTATATAGTTGAGCTAAATTGCTAAAAGCAAGTTATCATATGTTCCAAAAAATTATCTACTGTACAAAATATAGCCCTTAAGCAATATAGCCCTTATTTTAGCTTTTTCTTTTTTTTTTTTGGGGGTGGGCGGTGTGTTAATGAGACTTTTAATTGAAGGGGAAAGAAAGAGTGAAAGTAGTCACAGTTAACCAGAACAATTAGTGGTCCTTAAACAGTCAGAAGTTTCTTAAGATGAGTTTATGTTATTGTTTAAGAAGTGTACTCCCTCTTCCATTCCCAAAAAGATTGTTTAAGAAGTCATAATTAGCCATCACATTCTTTGATTTTCACATTAAAAGCCAAGATGAAGTTTTTTTTAAAAAAAAAATAAAATAAAAAGTACTTCCATTCATTTACTAGAACATAATTGAAATATAGAAAGAAACAGTCGAACACAATGTCACTTTGTTGTTGTGTTTACCGTGGATAAACATATATAAATTTATCTGTAAAATTAATGGATATATCACGTACCAGAGTTTGAATCTAATCTCAAATAAATCTCTAAAATTCTACTGAAAATTCCATATCCCTAAAAATTAGATCCATCGTGACTAATTCTTCGTGGTGACATATGTAACATCGGAACATCTTCAATGCCGCTACAAACACGGCAACCAATGGATTTATAATTGAAACATATAAGAAACAGTATAGATCTATCCGTAAAATTGACGAATATATCACGTACGAGAGTTTCAATCTAATCTCAAATATATCTCTAAAATTCTACTGAAAACTCCACATCTCTAAAAATTAGATCTGTCGTGACTAATTCTTTGTGGTGACGTACATAACATCGGGAACATCTTCAACACCGCTACAAACACGGCAACCAACGGATTTACCCTTCAGTGAGCAATCCACTGAAGAAATAATTTGAACAAGAAAACCTTACATCTCAACGGATTATCTAAATAATCTATTAAAGGACTAAATTCAAACTATTTATGAGAATAATCTCATTTATGAAACGACAGAATAAAAATAAAAATGATTAAATAAGTTTATTTTTCCATCCTCCCATGGGAGAGGATGTAGGAAGAAATATTTTTTTGGAGATGGGTTTTAGAGAGAAAAGGAGAGGGGGCGGTTACTTTGGTAAAAGTCAAGGTGAAGTTTGATCATATATGAACGAAGAAGCCAGTAGATACAAAGAGAATGATAACTGACAAAATAATATAAAAAAAATGTTGGCCTCTAAGACACATTTTTGTGCCTAATGTCATTTGCTCTTTATCATAATGACCAACAAAGGTAAACATGCATCATAAAATGTCTAGGTTATACAAAAAATTGATCAGCTTCTTTCTGCTGTATTCAGTATGATGAAAGAAATACTTGTTATATTACCTCCTCATGAAATTTTGTTTGTTCCAGAGTGAGAAATTTTAATTATGTATTGATAAAAATTATTCAAATTTTATGGGTAAAATGACGGGAAAAAATCTACAAAAATCATTATTCTTATATATCTAAATTCAGTAACTCTAATACCAATTTCTTGAAATTTCACAGGTAAAAAAAAATTACGAGAAATGTAAAGTAAGGTTTTTTTCTTATTCAAATCCAATCACTCCAATGCCCATCATATTAAAAAAAACGGGTGATTCTACCCAAACAAATTCTAATTACAAATTTAGTGTGAAATGAAATAATTATCCCTTTTGAAAATAACAAATATTTTTCATTGACTTTTCACCTTTCGCCGCCTCTCCTAAAATCCACAACCCTCCTCTGCCCCTTGCGACTACTGAAGGACAAAAAAGAAAAACAAAATCTAAAACCTGTCAATCTTCATTCTACAAACGAGGAAAAAACAATTTCTTCCCTTCTCAGTGTTTCCTTCTTAAAATCACTCATAAAAAATTAATTTTGTATTAAGAAAATCAAATAAATAGTCTGTAATCTTTGGTATACTTGAGAAAATTTCAAACTCAATGCTGCAAACAAGCAATTTGGGATGTAATAGTACATGTTTGTGACAATTATGGAATAATTTTTCCTATTTTTATACATTCTTTTTGGCAAAATTAGAGAATCCTTTTCCAAGATTAACATACCATTCTTTTTGGAAAAAACATACTAGGTAAAATATATAATAAATTAAAATATCTTCTAATAAGAACCAGAGGGAATAATTTTTAATGATCTCTACTTGGGATCAGTGTAAAAAATAAATAAAAGTTTAATTAATTAATAAGATAATAATTTTTTAAGAATCCTATAAGTAAATATAGGTCCCCATAAGTTTATAAATTAATAAATCATTAAAATAAAAATTATAGTTGAAGATTTTTTTGATTTATGCGATTATGGTGTTTTTTGTTCCGTTAGAAAAGTTGCAATGATATAAATAAACTTGAACTTGACTTTTATACATGTGAATATAATAAATTTTGGTGATTTGATAAAAATAAAGTTGCACATGACTTTTCTATAAGTGAAAATAATAAATTTGGTAATATGTTTATTGATAGAATTGAAAATTTCGTTAAATTAATAAATTTATCAATAAATTTATCGATAAATTAACAACTCTACAAATTAATAAATTTTTGAGAGTCCAAATATATTAATAATTCATAAAAATTATAATATCGATAGATTTGGTACGAAAACAAATACTCCATGCTTTCCATTTAACTCAAACGATGGAATTGATGATTGATTATAAAAGGTTCACTGGGAACTCAACACTAATCTAAACCACAAGTCATACCAAGTAAATACCAAACCCTAAGAAGCAAAAGGACCTCTCAACATGTTCTGGATCCGGATCGAATTTTTTTAGTGTCAAATTTGTACTTGAACTGATAAAAGAAATCAGAGTCTCCTATGATTTTAAGAGCACTGTATTCATTGTGGACCGTGCACCTTTCTAAAATTGACTACCCCGATATGAGTCTTGATGATCAGAACGGAAAACTTCATTAGTGCCCTAGAAATCTTTCGCTCCTCCAATAACTTCATATGGTCAATAGTACCACTTTACCCTAACCCTATCTTTTGGCTTCCTTCCTACAATTTTAGCTACAAAATGCGGCAACTTGTTCCCGGCCTCAACCTCTCCAATGTGGATAGTGACAGTGTCACCAGCTAGATCAGCAAAAAAAATTAGAAAAAATATGTGAAATAATTGGTAGATTTATTAATAATACATACATACCTTTCAGAGTATCGAGTAGTACCGTTCGCATGGTTTGAATCTCCTTCCCCTTTTCCGCTATGGTGATTAGAAATTTACGAAGAAAAGATTCGACGAGAAGAAATAAGAAATTTTCGGAGAAATGACAATAATTGAGAGAAACCTAATTAAAGTGTAATAATAATCAATATGGTAATGGGTAACCTCCGGCCTCTCCTATCCCTTCATAACAGAATAAATTTAATTTTATTTATATGGGAGAATTAAAACATTTATATTCAATAAATAGGTTTTAAAAACGTTAATTTAGTTATAGCTTCGGTTTAGAAGTTGTAAGGTATAGTGAGTCAAAATGATGTATATAAGGTGAAAATGAGTCAATAAATTTCAGTTTTCTTTTGAACGAAAAAAAAATTTTAATTTAGTTAGACTAGTAATATAAATTAAGTTGTTTGTGTCTAATGATTGAATACCGTGAAATTTTAAATTGAAACACTAGTGATGTCTGATCGCGCAATGCGCGACCCTGGCCCAATATATCTGTAGATCTTAGAAATGTTTGTATCTGAAAAAAAATATTTTGTGTTTGGACTGATATGTTTTAGAAATGTTTTATAAGTGTGATCGCAGAAATATTTGTATTTGGCATAAAAAGAAATTGTATTTGGCCCGGTACATTTTAGAAATGTTTTAAAATTTTAGAAATGTTTTATAAGTATTACTACTTAAATATAAATAAACTTGATCAAACATATATCTTCAAGTAAATGCTAGACAAAATATAAAAGAATCCTAATAAGTTTAAATATTAGTAAGATAATTTATTGATGTTCTCCATTGGCTGTGCCAAATCAATACTTAGTTTTGGAGATTTATAATAGCTTTGTAGTAAGCTTCCTCCAAAGGGTATACGCTTAATTGTTGGAACTATTTCTTCCAAAAGTTTATAGGTAGTAAAATATCAAAAATATGATTTTGAAACTGGTTAATTGTTGAAATTCGTTGATCACAAATATCAGATGAAAATAATATAAATTTGCATAGGTTTTAAGTTATAGCAAAAAAGAGCTCATCTCCCCATGGCAAATAAAAAAAAGAAAGTAAAAGATAGCCCATTCAAAATTGAGAAATGTACTTTTTTTTTTCTGTAGGTAAAAATAATGTATAAAAACACAAATAAACGTAGAAACATCATTTCTTCCCTCTCCACCTCAAATTCATAAAAGACTTCCCCATAAATTAGTGTTTTTAGTTAGAAGAAGCGACTTGAACTATTCATAAATTAGTTAGAAAAAGCGACCTGAACTATTTACGTGATGAGGAACTAAAAATAGTCCAAAAACCAAATCCCAAAAAGTATATTCTTGAAAGCTCGAACACAAAAAAAAAAACGCACTTCATTTGCAAATAAAATAAAATAATAATAATAATAATAATAATAATAATAATAATAATAATAATAATAATAATAATAATTGGTCAACTAGGAGTATGAAACAAAATCAAATGCAATTAAACAAAGAAAAAACACACTTCATAACTGACCATATACGAAAAAAAAACCTGAGACTCCATAATTAAAAAAAAAGAAAACCACTCTAATTGAATGAAACATAAAAAAAGAAATTTTAAAAACCACACTTTGTAACAAAAATCCAATTAATCAATTTAATCCAAACAGAGCTAAAATCATACAAAAATTCTAGGCTAACTAACCATATAAGAAATCACATCATATTACCTGACAACAGCTACGGTAGCTGTAACGGATGGACGCATAAAAATAATAGTAATAACACTATTCTTGAACGGGAAAAATAAAAAAAATAATAAAAGTCAAATAAATGATCTGTGGAAATAAAA